TTCAGTGCTCTTGCAGGCCGCCCAGAATTGTAAACTGCAGAAAGGAATCTCCGCGCGAAGTCCAATGCAGTGGAGAGCTTGTCTTTACGTCATTGCCGCCGCCCGTTATAGACGTGGCTGCCTTCGAGTGGCACAACAGCTGCTGCGGCTGGATCGAGTGTTCCTGCCTACTCGGCGGACGTTTCGCGACCAAGTCTCCAAGGCAGGTGCTCAATACAATAATCGAATACCTAAGGAGGGGGTAGGTGGAAAGGAAAGAAGGGAATGGAAGAGGCTAGATACATCAACCACTTCCTCGAAAAGCGCTCTTCTTCCAAAGCCCAGTGTCCTAAAACTAGCAAGACTGGCGAGCCGCTCATGCAAGTCCTGTGGATTCTGGCCACTCAAACTAACCCCACATATGTCAACTCCAAGTCGGCACATATGTGAAATTCCTGTAGTACGTACGTAGATCGGCCACTGTCAGTCACGGCTCTGGATCTTCAAAGCCTTAGTTGGCATGTGTTACGTGGGGTGTGTCACAGCGAAGGACCTGAACCGGACGCACCACCGACTACTTGTCATATAACTGGGACAGTCCCTATTCTCAAGGCCCTAGACAGTGTTCCTTAAGTCGGTTATCCAAGCCTACAGTTTTCCTCAATGGGCTTACAATCGGAGCCTTATGACGGAATCCTCCTTTCTCGAAGGGGGATATGTCCAAAAAATCTTGCAAGTGCTAGAGACTACCTGTGTTTCTTGAGCTCAAGAGATTCAACGCATCTTTCAGGATCACCCTTTTCTAGCCACTTTTTGAATTCCGAGGACCTTATGCCGCCGGTATACGAAGTAGCAATACCAGGGTGCCTTTCCTCGGATGGCTTTATGAGGGATGGAAGGGAGGTCTCTCGTTCTTAGGGGCTCGGTGACTCCTTGCAAGGATGGATGTCATTTACCTGTTTGTACAGCGTTCGACTATGAAACCTATATATATATATATTGCAGGAGTGGGGTGGTGACAGAAGAGAGGCCGCACAACATAGACATACTCGATAGCATTCTAGTAGTCGGGGAGGTGAAGAAAATGCATCGCCGGGAGGACGGGAAAACCCAACCTCCATTTCAAGCACATACTGTAAAAAAGAAGAAAGAATCCGCGCCAACAGCAAAACAGTCCTCGACAAACTCGATTAAGGAAGTAAGTCTCTTAGTACTGCTGCTTAACACAGTCGTCCGCTAGAGGCACTAACTCGTGTGCTTTGCTTGCCAGGATGTGCGGTGGTCGTTCGTGTGGTCCTCGGGAAGTATTGTGGGGAAGGAACATTGACGACTAGGATTACGGCTCGGCCCCGTCAAGCGCCGGGGGGAAGTCGGCACGGCGGCCGATTTCGAGTGGGATCTGCGTAATTTGATCCCGGCTTGGCCATGGCGGCCCCGTTGATTGGCCTTCGTAATGCATCGTAGATCCGTCTTGCATATTGTTTCCTTCTCCAGTTCCTCGCAAAACCCTGCTAGAGATGGCGTTATTTTACTGTTGATACTTAGAAGCCAGTCGCTTACTTGGGCTACAAGAGGAGATTGTGATAAAGCGGTTTTACTCGGCCGGCTGCCGAGAAGACGGAGCCTAGGATGGTCATGCCATCTTCATCTTCGTGACAGTCAAAGACAAGCAACGGACGTGTAGAGAGAAAGGGGTAGAGAAATGGTAATTGCATTTCCCAAAAATGTATTTCTGAAAAGGGGTATTAAAATAGCTAAAGATTGACGATAGACTATTATCCACCCATTCGAAAGTAAACTCTGCGGTACTGTTAGTCTCCAGATCAGCGTCACTACAAATGCGGGACAAAAATTCAAACTCACCTACGATCTCCTAAAAGAACACGCTTCTCTCTTTCTTTCCCAACTCAGTGTTCCCTTTAGAAACCTCCCCTCACCCCTCCCCCTCTCTCTCTTTCCCCAGTCTATACCTCCACAGTGGTTTCGGCCTCTACCTGAGCCTTCTTTGCGGCGTTCAAAGCCTTCAACTTCGCCGTCCCAATACCCGCGACACCCCCCTCTTGGTTCTCGCCAAGCCACGGCTTCTTAGAGTCACCAAGCATGCTCCCGGCAAGGAAATACGTCGTGAGACCAAGGATGATGAGAACGAAGGCGATGGGGTACATGAAGTGGATGACATAACCGAAGACGCGAATGCCGATGATGACACCCCAAAAGTTAGCAGTCAGGAGCGAAATGTCGAAAAACGCCGCCGAGGCCATGCGCAGGATGATGGGGGCAAGGGTGTAGAAGATGGTAAGTGCGAGAGTGAACCCGACGAGGTAACCGATGACGGGGCCCGTCCATACAACGCCCTCGATGGTGTGGCGGTCGAAGATGGCGGCCTGGACACCGATGATGCAGAGGCCGCAGATTCCAAGGAACGAGAGGACCTCGTACATAGGGCGCTTGCTGACGAGGAACTCCTCTGTAACGTTGCTGACGCCGTAAAGAGTGGCGCCAAGGAGGCCGAAGAGGTCGCCCTTGAGCATGTTCTCGCCCCTTCCGCCGTTGGTGCCTTGGATGTGATCGGAGGCCAGGAGGATGCCCATGCCGCCGCAGCAGACGAGGATTCCGATGATCTGGAAGAGCTTGTACCGGACGCGTAGAAGGAAGAAGGAGATGAGCACCACGCATACAATGGACCAGAAATTAAGCAGCTGCGCCGACAGAATATTGGTGTACCTGTAGGCCAAGACGGTGAAGTAGTTCCCCTCGACGTCGAGGAATGCGAAGATGAGGTACTTCCAGCCGTGGCGGAGGGCGACGCGCCCCCACTTGCGCGGACCGTAGTGGTAGAGGCAGATGGGGAGGTAGATGATGATGATGAGCACGTAGGTGAACATGACCTGGAAGGCGGGGATGCTCGTGTCGTTCTCGGCCAGGAAGGACGAGAAGGTGTTGGTGGCCGTGATGCAGAGGGCGAGGACCTGGCCCACGAGGAGGACTAGCCAGAAGTCGATGGTCGTGAGGTACGAGTACCAGTACACGCGCTGGGCTTGGATCTTTTCTAGGCCTTGACGAACGAGCTCGTCTTCGGGGGTGGACGAGGCGTCATTGGAGCCGACCGTGTTTTCTTGGACAACGACGGGGTTGATGGTGCCGAAGCCCTTGATGGGAACGGGGATGGTTGGCATTTTTTTTTTCCTGTTTGCCGCAACGCCCTTGTTTCTTTTTGCTACGTTCCTTTCGAGAGCAAGAAGGCAGTAGTGCTCCTGTTTCGCTGTCTGCAGACGTCTTCTGTATCCAAAGCTGTGGATGAGTCCAAGACGTGAGATAGCAACACCTGAATCGCTCGTTAGACATGCGCCTGCCACGTTTTTTTTTCTTTGCCATTTTTATCTCAACATACCAAGCAGCGCTAAGTTGGGAAAAATATAAATGAAATAAAAACTCGAACAAATCAGTCTCTTGGTCCTAACCGATCATCAAGAGATGTCTCCTCTTCGAGTAATAAAAAAGTTGTCTATCGCTGGGACTGATATGTTCAACCCTCGATTCCAACTGGAAAGAAAGGAAGGAATATAATTCTAGAAAGATCCTCTTTTCTTAATTCTCTTGTCTGTTTTACTGTTCTCCAGTAAGTCTTTCTTCGTCCCCTTTCAGCAAGCGCAAAGACTTCAAAGTCGCCTGCTGGTAATTCTAGTGCCTGACTCGGCACATACAGCGATGTGCCGTCGAGTTGATGGTGTTGAGGGGAGCGACGAGAGGGAAGGGCGTCATAGACGACGGAAGAGGGAAATATTAAAGAGAAAAAAAATAGAGTTTGAAGCCGGTCTCGAGCAAACTTGGAAACTGAGTTTGCAAAGGCAGCGTCAATTGAGTTTCTTAAGTTGGGAGGAAATGTGAGAGATTGATTAAGAAAAAAAAACTTCATGAGATGGCGATAAAAGAAAGAAAAAAAAATATGCCCCCGCTTCTGGCCGAACCTGGTCGCCGCAAGGTCGCTAGGCTCAAGAACCGTTGCAGAGGCCCCTGTTGCACACCATCAATCCCACGGCCTGGTTATGGCTAGCTTGGATGGCTGGTTAAGAAGCAGAATAGTATCAAATAGTATCAAATTGATCCCATTACTTCGTACCTATTACACACAATAACCTGGTCCATCACGCCAGTCCGGGGAGTCTTAGAAACCCCCATTCCCCCAAAAACGACCATGTGAACAGCGCCTCCCGACTCTAGCGCGGGATGTCTGCATCGTTTTTTCCCAGAATCGCTGATGCTTCCTTGGAAAACGAACAACGCGAAACCCCACGGGCGCCAAGGACGAAGGGATAGTGCAGAATATTGATTACAATTTGAAGAGTGGGAGCAAGTGTGGCTTGCTCTAGCACCACCGTTTAAAGTCCTTCGTAATGCCTTTGTACGGAGTAGATGCCCGACCATTGGAATGAACTATTTTTTATTCTTTATTTTCCCCTGGTTTATGGGTGACCACCCAGGTGATAGGTGATTGGACTCGGGCGGAGGGGCGGACGCAGGGAGGAGTATTCTTACTTTTCTTCAAGAAACTCCGGACGTCGCCCGCCGTCTTCTCGGAGCCGGATCTCCATCACGAGCCGGAGGTCCCGAAGAATTACTTTCGGCCGATAAACAAATCTCGTGAATTCGTTTTCCGTGTGTAACGGATAGACAGAATTACACACTCCAGGACGTAGAACCCGGTCTAGTTCGAGCCGCATCAATTCTTCTGTTGTTCAACTCCGCTGCTCTACACAGGTATGAATCCCCCATGGCTGAAACGAAAGCACGCGCTCAGCATCGAACAAGTCATCGAAATGCACATCGTATATTTTCAAACCCGCCATCTATAGATATATATATGCCCATCACTCCGAATGTCAATTTTCAATCCGCATCCGATCCATGGATATCTTAGAACCCACCAGGTATTTGCCAAAAGAACAAAAGACATTACGATTAAGATCAGATAATCCCAAACAAAACAACAAGAACTAGTGCGAGCCAAACCACCGCGCTATTCATATAAATGCCGTGCCAAACCTATCCGGGATCCCCGTTTGTCTCACCAAACTCTGCGTTCCGAGAAACTGCTCTCTCGGATTCTTCGGCGGCGCCTTGCCCACCGCGGGCTGCTGGGGCTTCCTTCCCATTGGCGATGGGGATGCCGTGCGCATGGGATTCTTCGGCGGAGGTTCGAGAGGTGGCAGGTCGCTGGGCTGTTGCCGGTTGGTAGCTACTCGTAGAGATGGAGGGGGGTGCGGCGAGGACTCGCTGTCGGACATGGGAGGCTTGTGGGTAGGTGTCAGCGGGAGAGGCGTTGTTGGCGCCGAGAAGCTAGGGAGAGAGATTGATGGCGATGGCATCGGCACGGATAGGGGCCAGTTGGTGTCGCTTAGTGGCGATACGGGTAGATGGCCGCCAGACGACGGCGCCGCCATTGGCGAGCGTTGTGGAGCCTCTCGGGGAGCGGAAAAGTCAGAGCTGCGAACCTCGGGCTCGAAGTTCTTGGGGCTAGGGAAGGTAAAAGATAAGTCGAGCTCAACATCCTGGAACCTCGCGAGTTCGGCTGGTCGTGGCCGCTCCACGGGTTCTTGAACGGCTCGTATGGTAGGTCGGCCCTGGCCTTGTCGGGGCGGGTGCGGGTGATCATTGGGAGGGCCACGGGGGTCCATAGCCCTGTTGGGTGGTGGACCTCGAGGTCCTGGGGACCCATTATACGGCCGCATACCTGGAGGTGGTGGCGACCTCATAGGACCGCCTCGTCCCATGGGGCCCATGGGACCACGGGGTGGATGCGGCGCCATGCCGTTAGGCCGTGGCCCGGGGCCGGGACCTGGTCCGGGTCTAGGGCGGGGCCCCATTCCTTCGGTGGGGGATCTTCTGGGTCCGGGGTTTCCATTGTTTGGATGATTCGGGTGAGGACCCCTACCTCTGGGTGGGGAAGGTCCGCGGCCCGGCGGGGGACCGTGTCGCATGTCCTGCGGGGATGGGCCCCTCGCCGGTCCGGGAGGTGGCCTCATTGCAGGTCCAGGTCTGAGCACATCGGGGTGCATTTGCCGGCCGCGGATCTCTGCGTGCACTGGGCTCCGGGGTGGAGTGGAACCCATGATGAGGGCAGGAGCCTCAAATTGGTGGGGCGTCTGCGCTCCTTGCTCATTATTACGATCGGGGGTAAGGACGGAGTCGTTTGCAAGCGGCCAGCTTGGAGATGCGATGCCCAGCCCGGCTGAGGTAGGAGCCGCGACGACGTTGGGCTTCGGTGGGGAGGTGTTCAGTTGCAGAGGCGCTGGCCGGTTAGCACGGAACATCTCCCTCGGAGATGTAGGGGAGGGGAGCACATGTGGCCGTGTGGTAGGTGGAGGCGAAGTCTTCTTCTCGTCCTCATCGCTATCATCAGTGAACTTAAAGTCGGCAAAGGGTGATTTACCCAGGTCCTCGATATTCATCATGATACTAGGCTGCCGGGGCATTTCGACCTTCAGCGTATCCCGGCGTGATTGGACAGTTTGAATTACAGGTATGCCCCATCGTGGGGCTTCTGACTCGTCGCTTTCGCGTTTCGTAGCGTCAGATGGTGCTGGAGAAGGTAGAGGAGCGGGACGTTGAGATCCACTTGCTGAAAGAGACGTCGAAGGTGTGGGTGAAGTCGTGCCGGAGGAAAGGCGGTGGCGGCCAGCGTCCTCGTCTCCGGCGTTGCTTACATGCCTGAGAGAGCTGGCACTGCGCTTCGTATCTGGTGCGCTCAGTTCGATGGCGCTCGGCTTGTCCGTATCGAGGATGGAGTGGGGAGGAGACGGGATCCCCCTCCGAGCGTCGCGTTCAGACTCGTCCGAGGGTTCATGTACGAAAACGGGAGGACCGTTAAGTCTCGGAGGGCTGTCCGGTTCGTGTCTCGAAGCGGCAAAATCCTCCGCAGTTGCCGAAGAGCCCAGTGGCGAACGTCCACGAGAACGGGGTGCTGCCAAGTCCTTGCCAAAAGGCAACTCCAAGGTCGGTCTTTCCATACCGGAAGATGTGCCGGGACGAGAGTCTATACTGCTGATGGATCCCGTGTGTCCGAAGTGATGGCGCAAATCTACCGAGGAGTTCATGCGGAAGTTCGAGATCGATGGGGGATTCGAAGGAGGCGCCGTAAGGTCAATCATGCTTGATGCCCCACCGTTCGCATAGAGACCGCTGGCAAAGGGTGGCCGCACCATACCGACAGCGGACCGCATCGACATGGCTGTCCCAGGCCTCGACATTCGGTCTATGACAGAGTTCGGCCTGGATTCCGGCCGCTCGCCGCCACGAAATATCCTGGGGTGATTTAACGAAGGGGCGAACAGCTCGGGGTTTTCGATCTTTTCCTCTTGCCTCCATGGCGACTTTAGGAGAGGAGGTCTCTCCGGCGGTGGTTTCCTATTAAGACGGGAAGACAGACAGTTAGAACCAAGATCGCCGACCCATCAATACTGAGGCATGCTTGGAGGGCTCGTAGATCCAAGCCGGCGGCTATTTTAGACGCATATAAGAGAGGACTTACTTCTTCTTCTTCTCCCCTTTGAATTTTATGCCAAAGAATGACACCATTGTGAATCGAAAAGTTGGATTATTAGTCGAGATATCTCCTCGATTACAGACTCCAGAAAATTAGAGTCGGCGAAGATATCATGGCTGGGTTTTAAGCGAGAGAGGGAAGGCCCAAGAGCCGTTTGACTAGGGGACAGGGGTCGTTATCGTCGGCCTCTAATGCGAGTTGCATGAAAAGGCGTGGTTGCCTTCTCGTATTTCCCCTTCTTTTCTTCAGCTCGTCCGACACTCGCTGCGGGCCTTAATATAGGTGATACACACGGCACTGGGGAATCGAAAAATGGACCGAGCAAGGAAAAGGTAAAAGAACGATCAGGAATGTCCTCTAAGGAAATCTTAAGAAAGAAGCGAATGCTATAAAGAGAAGAAGAATTCTAAAGTTGGCAAGAGCCCAAAACCCGACTTTCGTAAGGGCGTCAAGACATGCAGCCACTTTTTTGGTTCTGGAGCCTCCAGGCCAGTGGTTTTTCTGGTTGTGAAGGATGGAGGCTGAGCGACAAACCAGACGCGAGCGAGATCAGACAAAGTTCAGCTGGAGTCTGGAGACACCACGAACCCGCTGTCGGCTGCAAGACAGTCTCGTCGACCTGATTCAGAAACAAAGGATCAGATGATGGAGTAGCATGGAAAGTGGGAAAGAAAAGACTAAATAAATGCGCGAAGTAACGGGAACGAGAGAGTGGGATAATCCCGAGTTTCCTTCTCGAACGGGAGAAATTCTTCGCCCTGGTCTTCTCCATAATAGTGCAGTTCAGTCCCCTTTCCTGCGGTAAGGCAAGCTCTGCTCTCCTGATGCTAGTCCGAAGCAGTGTAGTGTAGACTCTACCTCAGTGCACTCTCCACTTGACGGTGACGGAGGCGGAAGAAGATACTTCGTACTAGGAACCGGGATGCCAAGAACAAGGCTCAGGGGTCCATTTGATGATAGGTGGAGAAGGTCGAAGACGGTTTGGGTTTGGTCGGATGCCCACTGGGCAGCGACGGACCAGGAATAGCAACTGGACGGGGCGAGACCTTAGCCCCTGGCGAGGAGGCACAAAGCGAGCCATCACGTCACTGGTCCCATCTTTTCTGGTGGGCACGGACGGCGCGTTTCTGAATTTGGTGAGTGAAAAGACTCTCCGCAGTGCTCCATTGCCATTGATTTTTCGAGGAGCGGGTTCGGGTTTGGGTCGGACCCCACGAGAAAGTTGGAAAAATCCCAAGGCAGGCGCCATGAGGAGAAGGAAAAAAAGGAATGTCGAGTCGTATTTTCGTACCTGCATTCGGGGTGCGGGTAAGTTCCTTGGTACTGCGATGTTCTTTGTACTTTGTACTTTACACCTCACACATTGCCCCTGTCACACAGCCCTGTACAAAGCACCTCGGAGGAAAACAATTCATTGTTCGACAGGGCCAATGAGCTCAGACCTCATTCTCAACTCGGGGTGTCAGCATAACGCAACATCAGACTGGTCTTATTCCTATATTGAAGTATCTCCCTAAATTGAAATAGTACCTTATCCGAATTTTAACCAACTATAAGCTTTATTCAAAGAATCGGAGAGCTCAGACAAGACCGAAGCCACCACCAGTCTCTGCAGCCAGTATTCTGGCCTGGCCTGGCCTACCCGTGTACTCGCCACAGCATAAACAAAAGCCAAGCAACAAGCAATTCAATCTTGGGGTAGCTCTCAAAAGACAAACCAACTAGTCATCCTTGAGCGAAACGCCCTTCAGGTGAAGCTCCTCGTTGGCATCGAATTCAACCTCTCCCAGAACCCAGGATTCGTCCGAGCGAGTGCTCTTGAGCCATATGTGCTTAGCGAACACAACAGTGGCGGAATACGGGCCAACAGTGAACTCTACCTCTCTCGTATGCACCTCATACTCAGTGTAGGAGCTGTTCTGTTGGTAGCTGAACTGGTAGTTCAAGCTGACGTCGAAGCTGGCTCCTAAGACGCCGAAGGAGGATGAGACACTAACACCGGCGCTATGGGAGAAGCTCTCTGACTTCTCCGTTGAAAGCCCAGTCGTTACCGAATCCGTACGTCTAATCGACCCACTACTATCGTTATTGTAGACTTCCGACACCGTCCAGGCGATGGACCTGCTCGAAATGCAGAAAGGGTTTGCAACGTTGTCTACGCACTGCTGGTCTTCGGCATCGAAGTAGGCGATAAATGGCAGCACAACGCGGCACTGCTCCAGCTTGCCGAATGTGTCGCCTCTGCTCGGCAGCTTATGCGGGTCCAGGTCCGGCAGCGGAGTATTGAACTGCGTGAAGTCCTTCTTCATCTCCAGAAGCGGGACGCGGGCGATTGACGTATCGGGCATTGAGTAGGCGTTGTTGGCCCGGAAGCAGTCGGCAGTGAGGGGGATTTTATCGGTGCCGTAGGTGCCGATGGAGATTGGGTGAATATCCCATATGGAGCAGTCGGCTTTGGCGCCCGAGCCCTTGTCGTTCCACACGAGCGTATCTCTATATCGGCCCTCCGAAACGAGGTCGGCTCTCACACACCAGATGTCGCTGGTGCTCGGCTTGCTCCAGCTCCCCATGACGACATCTCCGACGGCCACATAGCCGGACGGGGCCACAGGACGCCAGAAGGACCCGTCATATTTTCCGCCGCTCTTCGCGTCGGTCCAGATCAAGGTATAATCCGTCGGTGCGGCAACCGCTGGCTTACTGCTGCCAGACTTGGGCCCAACCAAGAGCGTTGCTCGCTTCCGAACGGGGCTATTATAGCTCGAAAATCCGATGGAGCCAAGGGGTTTGAGGTTTCCCTGTGCTTTGGCATGCCAAAAGCCACCATCTCTATCGGCACCGCTACCTCGGTCATCCCATCGCCATGTGTAGTCAGATGTCATGGTGACGATGAGATCGCCATATTCACGGGTCTGATTGGTCTGGATGTCTGCCATGTTGCTGGGCTCAATGTATGACTGATTAAGGTAGAACAAGTTTTGGGGACTGAAGATGTTTTGATGAGAAAGTTTAGCGATAAGGAGCTGTGTGTTATTGAAGAAGGGATTTAGATGCGGACACCAAACGCTATATATATGCACATGTGTGAGTGCGTGGAGAGGATGTATCGTCCTCTCACATCTATCTCTATTTCCACAAGTGCCACTCTCGCCCACTGCCTGGACTGGTTGGTTTTTGGGGCAGTCTTCGATATCCTCCCCCCCCCTTTTACACCGACTTGCCAGGCGGTGAATCAGGCGTGTTGATGCGCGTCTCACTATTTGTCCGTTCATGTGATGAATGGCGAAGCATTAACAGAAGTCCGACTGCAAACGGGACCAGTAAGGTAAAGCGGATAACATTCTCGGGGACCGGCCTCTTGCCGATCGGCTGGTGGCTGGCTGGCTGGGCGCAAACTCCGGACGCCTCCGAAGTCTAGAATTCCCGGGCCGGCGAGTGAGCGGATTGAAATACCTCACATGTGCACCACAAGGAGAGGAGAGGGCGGGCTGAAACTCCCGCCGAGGGGATGATCCTCACCAACCCCGCAATTATACTGCAGTCATTCTGTGTTAGTTGTATCTAGGGCTGAGAAAGAGGATGGCATCAATGTGCTTTTATTGTACACATCATCAGCTGTAGATCAATACTTCGGCTCTCTCAGCGCCTGCTCTCTAGATCTTCAATCATACTGCATTGGGCAAGGAGGGGCGGGCGGGGAGGATGATTGCTTTTCTGCGTTTCTTCCAATTAACGACTGCTGAGAGAGGTTAACCTTCTCTCCCGCTGACGCCGTCCGCATTAATCTGCCCAACGATGTTCCGAGGCTCATGACGCGCGCCCAACCAGCCAGCGTATTTCGGCGGCTCCAGTCGCATCACCGATCGGCACTCTTGCATTTGCAGGACGCCCCCAACACGGGACGGCCCGTCTTTGAAGTGCATTCGGGAGGTAGCGCGAAGGAGTTCAAGTCGGCGATTGAAACGATCGGACTGCCCTCGGCTAACCTTCCCACTGTGCATCCGATGAGTGGCGAAGCTCTTTGGCTGTCTGTAGGAGGACGCCCGAACTACACGCAGAGAGTGACGACAACACTTTCTTACGGACCTGATTTCAAGACACTGACGTCAACGTTGATTTTCAAACAGCGGTGGATCTAGCTTACTTATTCACCGGGGCTGTCCACATCTCCCTCAGCCAGCCACGGGCAGAAATGTGATGGCAAGAGAATGTGTGGTGAGGTAGAGCAGTTGCAGCAGTTGCCCACCTTAGCTTCTTGAGTCTAATAAGATGATGGCAAGGTGCCTCAGAAACAATATTAACTGTACTGGTCTAGGCTTCCCTGCTGGCGCCGAAATCAAGGAATATACATGTCTGAGTATCGTTCCCCTCGGCCCTCTATCACATTCATCTCGACCTACACCGGTTAATCGTCTAATGTGTGGACGGTATCAAGTACCAGGAAGACTAGAACGTGAACTAGGTCGATATGAACGGCGAGGTCTCTCGTATCTCCGAGCCAGACGACATTCATCCAAGGTCCGATCCTCATCCTGTCCTTGCCACAAATAATATCAGAAAACTTCTCGTGCAAGATGTAGTTTACTATACACCAGGCCGGGTGGAAGAATGGCCAAACACGCCGTGTGCATACAGCAGCGATGACCTCCTTTACGGGCTACTCGGCGCATAAAGGCTGTGGTCACTGCCATTGGAACGACTGTGGCTGTCGTACCTCAGTATATTACTAGATTTTAAAACTCACGTTACCTTTGCTTGTCTTTTCGATATATCTCCTATTCAACGACGACAAAGTTAAATGCAGTTCTTGAAATCTCTTAAAATAATTGGAATATGCGATATTAGAATATTATGCAATTATTGATCTCCTTGTGCTCTGGAGCAGGCGGGACGGATCCGGGACCCGGCAAACGGCATGCTTGGCAACCGTCAACAGCAAGGAAGAAGCAAACATTGCTATTCACCAAAGCGAAAATGACCCTTGAACGTGCTCTTCGTGAGACACTGTTGACGACGCAAATCCAACCTCGAGACAAAGGACACTTTCAGACTAGGACCCTCTCGCGTTCGAAGATCGAAGAGTGAGGAGGTGAGAAGGCAATCTGGTGATCAAGTTGTCCACAAACGGTGTCTCGGGCTCCATGCCCACTTCGTCATTGTTTGTCGACGAGAAGCTAGGCTCTGGAAGTGCGCTAGGGTATTAATGCGTGGATTAAGTGTGCCTTGGTCACGGATGGAATACGACGCTGGGACAGAAACTGGGCGGAATCACCAAGGCCAGGAAATATTTGACTAATGCAGACGGTATTACTTGCCTCAGTGATTGATCAATTGGATTGATAGTATTTCATCCACAGACTTCAGCTGGACCAGCATCAAAGCCCTCATTGCTCCATCATGTTGAGCCCATATCCAGTCGCGATGGAGCCCGAGCGCCACACTATTTTTACTCGTGCCTGTGCCGTTCAGGGGTAATCTCAGCCTCCCCCAGCACGGGCGGTTCCATATTTCCGTTTTGCTGACATTGTGACCATGCCGAGTGGTAGAGAGTTGCCTGCTCCGCGACGTCTTCGTTCTGCGGCTGCTTTGGGGCGGCCTAGCTGCATGGAGAATTTTAGTGATACTTTGCGCTGCATATGTACCTCACTCCAGCCCTGATGGGTATGGCGGATGTAACTGATACTTCTGGCTACCATGTCTCGAAACCTTGACAGGCACGGCGATGTTTGCTTCGAGGGCTTCAGCGTTCCCTCTTGATCGCCGATTGCTTCGCGAGGCAACAACATTGATGTTTTCTTCCATCAACTATCTAACGTCATAGCGGCCATAACGGTCATGTCTCTCGAAAGAGCACCTTCCTTCGTCCCGAGATTTGGGAGAGTCCTGGTTTCTGGGGGCGCTTGGCCAGACTCGGAAGAATCGTGCAGGCCAGCCTGCTCTAACGAGCTGTTCCAGCAATGAGCTCAGCGTGGGCACATGCTGGCTTGACAGGTTGATGAGAGACATCGATCCGTTCAAAAGAGAATCAAAACGCGCCATGAACCCTAGACATTGGCAACATTACTGTCCCTTTCGAGATCTTGCGCTTCCGAGTTCCCCAGGACCGGTGAATACTTCGTCCTTGATAACAGACATTCGCCCGATGCCAATATTTGGCTCGGGCTATGATCTCAGCCTGTCCGTAGTGCGGTGGCTTCCCGCCATACGAGAAACTAAAAAGCATCCGAGCACTTTCGAAGGGCTAGCTGCCTCTTAGGGCCTTACTAGATCGCGGCTCTTCCGAGACGACCCTCCTGCCTAGCCGCAGATCATTTTATTCACCAGAGAGAGAGAGAGAGAGAGAGAGAGAGAGTGGAAAGGCAGAAATGCAGTTGATGAGAACAATATTTCCACTTAATTGCGAATACGAAGTAATCTCCCTCCTCCCAGCTACGTCTCACCTCGCCGGCCAAGAATCTAGCAGTTCGTTCTCGCCCTCAATGGTAAACTCCCACACATCTTGATCATCAATGTCAAGCACGATGCTATACTTTCCAGGGAATAGCACGAGGTCTCCCTTCTCGTCGCCACGGGCAATCGTGCCGACGTTGATGTCCAGAGAAGCTGTAGCCGTCCCACCCGGCGCCACGTCGTGGAAGCGCGTGAAAGCCACGAGTCTCTTCTTCGGGTACGGTTCTGGACCGTACTCACCCTTGAGGAACGCCAAAACAACAAAGTCTGAAGCTACTTCACCGTCATTGGTTACCTTGACGGGGATCGACGTGAACGGGTAAAGGTCCCTGTAGAGTTCCTCAGATTCCTGTGACACGAGTTCGGCCGTGTTAAAGGTCGCCGGAAGGTCGCCGATGTGATCTGGATCGAAGGTAAGGCTGAAGTTGGTGTAGTGGAGGCCATGGCCAAATTCGAAAACGGGTGTTCCTGTGTACCATTTGTAGGTTCGCCTGTTTGTGGATTGTCAGTAGTATTCCACACTTCTTCGGATTATCATGGAGCTTACCCCGGATTGCCCTGGCCCGGTCGAAGGTTCATGTCCGTCATCTTCACATCGCGAGTATAGCTGCCAGGATACTGAGTTACAGGCAACCTTCCAGCTGGTGCGCTGACTCCAGAAACGATGTTCGCAATCGCAGTTCCACCATCCTGCCCCGGATACCCTCCCCAAATTAGCGCATCGACGTTATCATCCTGGACAATTGCCGTCGAGTCAAGCATGGTACCCAGATGCACGACGATAAAAGGTTTATCTGTCGCGGCCGCCCCGAGCTGCTTAATGAGAGCTAACTGCTGGCCGGGCCATGTGATGTCATTCCGGTCCTTGTCCTCAGCCTCGACCGAAACGTCGATACCGCCGACGTAGATCACCGCATCGGCCTGGCGAGCTGCGTTTAGGGCCTCGTTGAACTGTCCCGTGCCACTGCAACCGACATCACAGCCGCGGCCGGTGCTAACTGTGTAGCCGGCGGCCTTGAAACCGTCTTGTGGCGAGACAATCTTTTGCGGGATACCAAAGTAGTTGCCCTGCATTTGCGTGGTAGCTGCTGCGAGAGGCCCGACAACAGCAACGGCCTTAATGGCGCCGCCGGGTTTCTCGAGAGGGAGCGCCCCATTGTTCTTTAGGAGTACCAAACCCTCAGTCGCGGCGCGGAGAGCTAAGGCTCGCGCCTCGGGTGTAGCAACGGACGACCATCCGATTTGCCTGTACGGCACATCTGCCTTGGGATCAAAGTAACCCAGCCTCACCATGGCAGCGAACCTCCTCGCGATCGAATCATCAAGAGTCTTAATGTCGAACAGCCCCTGGTTATACGCCTGCCCGAGATTCCGCGGCCAGAAATCCCCGCAATCGAGGTCACATCCCGCCTTGAGCGTCTCGGCAGCCACCTGCGCGGCGTTCATGCCCTTGTACCTGTGGTCCTGGAAGACATTGTTGAGCGAATCGCAATCGCTCGTGACGTACTGCTGCTCCTCGGTCCAGTTCCAGTGCGTGCGCAGGAGCTTATTCATGAGCCAGTCGTCGGCGCAGGTGGGCACGCCGTTGACGGCGTTGTATGCGCACATGATGGACTGGGCGTTTACGTCGCGAGCGCATGTTTGGAATGGAAGGAGGTGATAGTCGCGGAGGTCTTGCTGGGTGATTTTCGCGTCGAAGCCGTAGCGCTTGTTGCCTTGCCAGTCTAAGTTTTCCCAATGCGGTGTAAGTCAAGTGAACGGCAAGGGAGAGGCATTTCTTCGCTGGGGTGGTATGTGCATCTTACTCTCAATGTCGTAGCCCGCGTAATGCTTGCAGGTTGCGACGAGCTTAAAGTATGGATCTGCATGCTGGCCGCCTTGCATGGTGGGGATGAGATGCTTCACATAAGTGCTCATGAAGAAGGCGTCTTCTGAAGGCACCTCCATGCCACGGCCCCACCTCGGGTCCCGGTAAGGGTTGATGTTGGGCGTCCAGTATGTGAGACCAGCCTGGCCAGCGTTGTTGAATGCTCTCGCCTCGGTTGATGTGACATCTATGTCAATCTGTTAGAACTCATCCGGGAACACCCCTCCTTCAGCAACCTTTGGATTAACTCACTAGCAAACCCCTCAACCAGATCCATATCAAAAGCGGCGCCCATGGTAATAGGCTGTGGGAAAGACGTCGCGTAGCTAAATTCGCCGTTCTGCTTAAAGCTAACACCTCTCGAGCGCGCGACTCCATGTAGAGCTTCGTTCCACCAGGTGTACTTGGGGAGCCCCAGGCGCTGGATCCCCGGCGACTCGGCTTCGGAGTTAGCGATTTTCTCCTGGAGGGTCATGGCCTCCACAAGCTTCATCACAAACTTGTCAGCGCAGTACGTCACCTTGTTTCTCATCAAAACTTACCGCCATAGCGCGGGTCCATGGATCTAGACTAGTGTCGCAGACCTTGTTGGAAGCGAGCTTTTTTATGGATAGTTAGTGATCTTGGGGCACTGCTGCGCCAATTCTAGGAAGGTGGGAAATGGTGGACTTTCATACCGGCCCAGATGCGCAGTCAGGGAATTGGCCATTCTGCGCAAGAATCGGCATCGCGAAGGCGGCGAGTACCGCCAATGTCGATCTGAAAGTCATGATGGCGGTCGGATCGATCGTGACACTCCTCGGTCTTGAGTGGCACTGGCGTCTCCCGCTCACACAGCTAGAACGCGAATGAGATACAGACTCTTCTAACAGGACCCCCATTGCGCATCCTGTATATATTTATACGCATGTAGATTTGAGGTTAAGGAGATTACTATTGCCCTTCCCCTCTCTCTCAGTCAATATAAAGAAGGGCAACCGCAGCGGGTAAACAGCCGTAGAGTCTCCATCCACGAAATGTGACTGTGCCCAGCCATCCCCCTCACAGCAAAAAAAATTACTATTTTCAGGTTGGATAAAGTGCAGCGAGGGCTTTGCGTGCATCTATATCACCTAACCCCCTGATGAGTTCATCTATACCTCTCACCAACAGCCGTGCATGCTTTGAGGATCGGAGAAATATAAAAAGGAGGGGAGACATATAAGCCTGCGTCCTCGGGGATCGGAGCAGCGGAGGCTAAGAGAATGGGAGACGGTACGGGTTCTATCCAATTTATGAAATTGTGGAGAAGGGTTGACTTGGCTTTCTTTCGGCATTTGGGGCTTTGGGGAAGTGGTGAGGTGGTCTGGGGAAGTTGAATTCAGCCGCGAAGGGGGGTTATAGTGCTCATGCCTGCCGCCTGGGATTATCGTCTGGAGTTGGCAGTACCGAATTTTCCTCTCCTCGATGGGGACGATGGGATTGGGTAGCCGATAAGAGCGTTTGGGGTACTCGAATTGATCAAGTAGCATGTAGCTTGATTTAGCAAATGCACGATAACCCAACGAGGCGTTGAGGCTAATCAGGATTCAGGTTCGAGGGCGAGGCGACGTCGATGCTTGATGAAAGAACAATCATGAGAAAATTCAATTCTTTACCAGATAAACCCTTGCCCGTCCTGACCGAGATGATATACATGAAATGCTATGACCTTCCCAAAGAAACAAGGAGAAAAGAAATATGTAAATAATCCGCTAGATAACATTAAGAGAACCGTGAATCTCGATGGAGATGCCGCCGAGGAAGGCTAGGTAAGTAAGGCCCTGTTGGACCGCGGACAAAAGTGCCCTACCGTTATAATTGCTCGAGAAGCTTTCGTCTCCGCCGATCGATCAGCTCCTCTTGCACCTCTTCCAACGTCGGCAGCTGCCACTCCTTCCCATCCCCAGAATCACCGGGCAACGGCTCCCACCCAGGCGGCGGCTCCGGGTTCCCAGTATCCGCCATATTCTCAAAAGCCTCCTTCTCCCTCGCAGCCTCATACGCCAGCAACTCATCGTCCTCCTCATCAGGACTCCACCCATAATACGCCGCATCCACCTGCCTCCTAATATCCGCCCTCGCCTCCAACGGTTTCTCCTCCGCCTTCTTCGCCCTCGCCGCCTCAAACAGCTCCTTCACACCCGGTAAATCCCTCGCCCTTCCAAAATACTTGTACCCTTTCCCCCTGCCGGGTATCTCCCTCCCCTGGTCGTCGTACACTTTTGCCGCGGCGCGCATGTAATTCGGCCCACCCAGGTTCCGTATCTGTATCTCCCACATGTGCTTCTCGCGCATGAGCTTGTTGATCTCGTCGTTGAGGTCGCGGATCTGATAGTCACTGAGCGCCGGGTCCTGGATCTTGGTCACCTTGCGCGAGATCTCCTTGAGAACTTGGCCGCGCCACTTTTCGCAGGCCGGGATCGAGTCGACTTCGGTGATTAGTTTGGGGCGTCGTGTGCGCGCTGCGTCGAAGAGGCCTAGGTCGGCGGCTTGCGCTTCGCGGAAGCGGAAGAGCATGGACTGGGCTTTTTCCGAGTTTCGCGCCTGAAGGAAGTTAGTGGTATTCTTCGTTCATGTCGACCTGGGGAGAAAATTGGTCATACCATTTTGACGGTGGTGCGGCGACGGGTTGGAAGATGGGAGACGAGGGAATTCTGGCGTCGCGATCCCGGAGCTGTGCAGCTAGCTGGCTTGTCTCGTTACGATACGAAAACAGGGGTGAGAGAGGTTGGAAAAGGGCACGGTTGAGATTTCCGTACCGCTTCGTTTTTGCGAGCAGCCTTGTCGGGGGGTGAAGTTCTGAGGCTGGGTTTCGTTGTTCCCCAAAGCTGGAGGTGGTCCATTTGCTTAGTCATCATTCATTCAGTGTGGTAAGCTATGTCGGACCCACCAAAGACCTCCCTCAAAAGGTCGCGCCAGGCGCGTAGAGAGCTCAGCCCACCTCACCTTCTCCTCCTCCTCATCCTCCCATGTGCCGATGCCATCACGACCCTCCGTACATCCCACCTCTCCTCCAGCCACGCCTCGTCCGTAACTAAGCCGGTCCCGTTCTGTGCCTACTTTTCCTCCGCCCAGTACTTCGATCGTATTTCGCCTCCGTTTCGATGTTCCTCGAGTTTCAGTGCTAAGCGTCCCGCTCTCGTCTTGCTGAATTCGCCCTCGTACCTCGTACTTGTTCGCCTGCCCAGCATTCTCTGAGTCGTACCTCGCCTAGATTCCATTTCCGATCCTCTCCCGTATCCTCTTTCCATCGAACCGTGCACTGGTAGAAATGTTCCTGCAAGCCTTGCTGCCCAACATCTCACAGTGATTCTCCCACATGGTCGTCCAGCATTCGATTTCCCATCCTCGGTGCAACATCCCATCGTCCCTCGTGTGTGGCTATCGGCACAACCATTTCCCTACCCCTTTTCTTCCTAAACATCTATCTGCGATGACGAGAAGACTCATAGAGAGCTATGATCCCCGGCTAGGCACTGGTTTCTTCGGAAACCGTGCTTCTGGGTAGATGATCAAAACTCCGAAGTTTTAAGAACAGAAATCTGAGCAGATGTTGTTTTTCACTACAAAACAATTTACACAACCTACCGTATGGCTGGCTTGTTTGGCACAGGAAAGCGAGCTGCAATCCTAGGTGGATATTGTGCCGCTATGACGACAACCGCACACTTCGCAAGAGGCTACATACATAACTGTATCCGTTTGTCCGCATTTTTTGCTAGCTGACCCTACATCGCACAGGCATGGTGGCAAGGCCAGCAAAAGTAATCGGCAACGGGCGCCGATGACGGCAATTTAGAAAGTTTTCAATCGGAGCTGGCTGGTGAGTTTTGCATTCCCTTCTTTCAGTGGTCTTTATACGGTTTGGCTTACCTGTGCTCTTCATTAGATCCACCTACGGTGCAGCACTTTTCCTGGCCAAGTGGTCGCCCACTTCTACCCCTGTGTAGCAGGTCGCAGGGCTTTGAAATATATTCCCATCGAACGCTACGGGGGATTTTTTTCCCCCATGATACTCTATCTACAAGCCCGGTGATGACTTAGAGAAGGTCCAAAAAGCCAAATTTGCAGGCAGATGGGCGCGCGTTTCACTCTGGATGACCCAGGGAGCCTAACAGCGTCTCTGTCGGTGAGAACCTAAGAGAGCTAATCTGAGGGTACCCCGAGATTTCCTGTACCCCCGTTCATCTTTTCTTCTTCCAGCTTGCTTGTAGTCACTGTTTCCTTGTTTCTTATGTTTATTCACTGCTACCGTTGCCAACTTTAGTTTCAGGGATTCCAGGTGGAGGTTTTCAGAATCATCGCATTGCATTCCTGGGATTTACCTCCCGACTCTAAAAAAAAAAAAAAAAGGTCGCTTTATAACTTTCCTTGATGTACACGTTACCACGCCATCCCTATTTTCCATTTTGCGAACTTCTAAGAATATCATTCCGACTGAATCTCCTTTATCCCCCTTTTGTCTTTCAAAACGGCGAAGAAAAACAAAATCGAATGAAGAAAAACTACTGCTTCTTCTTGGTCTCCCCTTTAAGATCCGTAGGCTTGCTGTAAAGGAAGAGAGCGGAAAACGCGACAAAGCCGACAACAGTGGCGCCGATGCCGCCGATCCAGGGCCACGCGGCCGGGATATCAAAGGGCCGAACCCACTCGTTGTGGGCCATATGCCTCACGGGGACGGTATTCTTCTCCTCGATGTTCGTGAGGAAAGGTCGCTTGTAATTGACCATGAAGTTGAAGATACCATGCTGGTCCGGGAGCTTGAAGGCGACAGAGTAGGTGCAGGCCTGGCCGGTGATCTTGGCGCGGCTGAGGTTGAGGCGGTGGAAGGGCGAGAGCATGGTGAATTCCAGCTGGAGCTCGTCGCCGTCGGGCACGAGGTAGGGAGTCCACTTGTTCCACGAGTACTCGGATAGAGATATTGTGTAGGTCTGTCGCAAGCATAGCAATGTTAGCATGGGTATTCTAGAAACCGGAGCCGGAAGCTGAGGTAAATACGCACCACATCGTTCTTGATCCTGTAGCCCTTGGGGTTGGTTTCGGTGGCGCCGGCCTCGTTGAGACGATGCTCGATCGAATTGACACGGAGGACACCAATCTCCTGGAACGTCCAGCCAGAGACGCGCTTAGCGAACTCCCTGTTCCAGGTGGCAACCTCCTTGTCGCCGATCTTCTTCACCTTGGCGTCGAACCACTTGTCCGTGAGCATCTCAGCAGATCCGACAATGGCGAACCTCGCCGAGTTGCGGCTCTGCATGGTGGAGACAAGGCCAAGCTGCGCGCCAACAGCAAAGAGGTCCTGGGGATCAACACCATCGGCCTGCTCCTTCGGATCGTAGCTGTAGGCGGTGCTGGGTGCCCTCAGGACGGGGTTGAGAAGAGGGCCCTGGCCCAGCGTGTGGCCGACACCGCGGGGGAAGGCGATGAGCTCGGAGATGGTCTCCGCGGGCGTGAAGTAGGTCTGAACTCCGGGTCGTAGGGGAGCGGGAGGGGCGAGGAGAAGGACATCGTGCTTCTCCGAGGCGGAAGCAGCATCGTAGTTGAAGTGATCGACGACGAGGCCGGTGCGCTCGGCGGGGACGGCGATGTCAAGCTCGGCGAGAAGGGCAGTGATGGAGGAGGAGATGGTGGTTTCGGAGGAGAGCGCGACGAGGATGTTGCCATGGGCGTTCATGAAATCGACGAGGATGTTGGGTGTGAGATTAGGTCCGAGGGCTGTTTTGAGCAAAGTTTAGCTCCTTGATCAGACTTCGCCGCGCAGACACAAAAGCTGCCATCATCGGATTAATCGAGTTATTCAAGACGTACCCTTGACCTTGGTTGGGAGCACGAGGACATGGTCGTAAGTCCTCTCGCCGAGATGGATCAGGGAGAGAGATTCGCTCTTGGGCGTCTCGTAGGTGATCTCGAATCCTCGTTCTGCAAGTTATCTCGGTCAGTCGCCTGTCTGCGTAAGCTCCGTGTGAAGCTATTCCCCAGAAGATGATCGAATCGCAATTGGAAGGCTAAAACGTACTCGTCAAATCGCCAAAGAACTTCGAGTAGTCATTTTTCTCGTCGACATCGTTTAGAATCACGAGGAGCCTGCTACCCGTGGAGCTGACAGCCTGCACGACAGCCACGAGCAGCAGCACGAGGAAGGTAAAGACGGACTTCATGCTTTGGAACCAAACCGCCTTAGCTTATCAATTGAAGGAGTGAGATTCAATAGTTGACAAGGCAAGTTGTGCATCAGCGCCCTAGTTGCTGTGCATGAGGGGGTTTGGGGGATGAAGAAGTGATTGTGAGCTTGGGGAAGGTTTGGAGTCGAGGTTCAGCCTTCCTGCTGCTTGCGCGGTCTGGTCGCTGGTGCAATGAATCTGGACAGCTTTGGGGATACGTAGCCTTCAATCAATGCTGCCAAGCAATGCGTGTCAGACCCACATCGACTTGGCTGGGTACAATTGACTTGTACCTGAGGTAAGTCGATTATTTTGCCGTGATTTATCCGAACCATCAAATCGACTGTCGTGAAATCGTCAGCCAACACTTCCAATGCCGAGCTAAACAGGGACGCAATTCCTGCCAGTGCCTTTTCGACTAGCCAAACGAGATCAATTGGGTATGTACTGCTGCGAAACGGAAGAATATTTTGTGACGATAGACAGAGAAGGCTAACCCGACGATATTTGGCTCCCCGGCAGCAGCCCTCCACCTCACGAAACGATGTCGAGCCCTCGATTCTGGGCCACGCCCCTCAAGTACCTCCGCTGGGCCTCTCGAGAGCGCCCTGCGTACTTCTGGTCCCTTGTTATCGGTGCCGTCGGTCCTATCTCGATTCCCATTACGCTCAAGATTCGAGAACTCGTCGGAGATGAAAATGCGCCTAGGATTCCCGTCACATATCCAGGTAGGTCCAGGTCACCTTCGAATCGAAGCTTGGCTCGTCGTGGGCGAGGCTGCGGCTCTTTGTTTTTTTTTTCCCCGAACTGTTAGGCTGATCTAGGAAACCTTTCACTTTTCTGCAGTACCTACTGGCCCTAGGAAGCAATTAACGGGGTACGATGACGAGTAAACTGGGGAGGGTGTGGGCGTGGCGGAGGATGCGTTGTTCGTGGTCATGAGCGAGTTTCCCCGATAAGATGGCGAACGAACTCGAATACACCCGGCAACCTTGTTTCAATATGGGACTCTAGAGAAGGGGGATGTATATCATTTCTGAATATACTTGACTTGAAGCACCTGCTGTGTTTTTGGGCCCGACAGTATTGCCTGGTGAGAGTGTGGTTGCCAACTTGAGCCTCGACAACTGAAACAAATTTAGAATTACACCTTATCAACACGCCAAGCCCGTTGGATTCTCCTTTTCAACCATCTCCGCCTTTTCCGGAACAGTACATGGTTCTTTGGCGTTATTCTGGCTATTCCCGCATTGAGGATAAGCGGAGCTGTCTAGGATGAGGATCAGATACCCCATGGAGTAGGGGCTGCAAGGGAAAGGAGAAAGCCAAGATAAATGAGAGCAAGTTAAGCCCCCAACAATGTTCTAAGGGTCAATGTCGCTCAGCTATGCCCATGCTTCTTCTTCCAAACCGACCACAAGGGGGGTGCTTAGGTGTCTTGTCCCTTGACGGGATTGACTGCGAGATTATGTGATCCGTCTCCAGGTCTGGGCTATAGTGAAGCCGCTACTCACCGTTACATCTTGTTGAGAACAGGAGTAGAACAGGGAGCAAGGAACCAGCTTAACGGGTACATTTTTACCTCATTATACACCCTACAAACCAGCCCTCGCGTCATCGATCTGGGCCATCTGATATCAATTTATAAACTACTGCAGCCACGTAGAGTCTATTAGGTATCGTACATTCTCTTCGAAGGGGCTAACTGTCCAACACACACAATGCATTCTAGGGCATCAGTCTCCAAAAGTCCCTCTCCCCTCATGCCCCCACGTCCCTCTTACCACAACGTCTATTCACCTCTGGACAGGCCTCAGGTTAACACGAAGAGGCTGCCGTATCCAAAGAATATAAGTCTTTTGCTGGGAGAGCCAGTCCCCAGCATCTGCCAATTCCATATCAAAATTCCAAATTATTCGGGCGAGAATCACTCGCATCTCGACATACGCAAGACTAGTTGTGTTTCATTGTGTATTAGCAAGAGTTTTCTCCCTTTTTGTCGTTCAAAGGAAGAAGAAATGAGAATAAAATACAAAAGAGGCTTACTTCTTCCCTATACAGTCCCGAGGACCAATGGAAAATGGACGCATACACGCCGGATTGTCAGTCTGGAACCGTTCGTCGCCGAGAAAGCGCTCTGGGATGAATTCGCCGGGTGCATTCCAGTTGGAGGCAAGTCTGTTTATGGCCCACTGATACACGCTGACGATGGTCTATATAAGTGTTAAACACCATTGTTAACAACACCCCCGGGCCTGGGCGAGTTGGTCGAATAGGCATAAGCGAGGAAATGGGGAAAATAATGACATACCCCTTCCGGGACAAAGTTCCCGGCGATGGTAGCGCCTCCTTTGGGGGTGCTCCTGGGTAGCCCAACTGCCACGGGAGGGAACAGGCGAAGAGCCTCATTCAGACAGGCAAGCATATAACTCAAATTTTGGACCGAAGCGAAGTTAATCTCGTCCTCCGACTGAAATGCGGATCTCACTTCCGTCTTCAATCTCTCATAGGCGACGGGGTTATCGAGGAGCAGCCACGTCACACCAGTCAGAGTCGTCGCCGTCGTCTCGGACCCGGCGAGGAGAAGCGTCGACGCCATTCCAGTAAGCGTACCGAAAGTGAATTTCTCCTCGTCTTTCTTCGCCAGGAGCGGCTCGATCAAGTCAGGACGGGATTCGTAGCTCTCAATTCGCTTCTTCAGGGTCACGTTGGCGAAAGAGCGCAGAATCAGACCTTTGCGGAGGAAAGCGAACAGCAAGGCGGTGGCGAGCGACTGAAGGCCAAGGAACCTTAGGAACATGAGCGACGCGGACTGCCTCATCGAGCCGAAGATGTACAAGATGAACGGATGGCTCTCAGCTTTTTCCAGACACCTGAACGAGTCGCCAAAGGCAAGGTCGCCGATGACGTCGAACGTCGTCCAATTGTACCAGTTGGTCATGTCCTGGGGCCCCTTGCTGCTATACTGGTGCAACCTCTTGATAAGCAGGTCGACATACTTCGAGATGAGCGGCTCCTGGGCGCGCATGCTCTTGTCGGAGAAGCCCGGCGCCAAGATCCTTCGGAACCTAGCGTGGCGGGCATGGTCGGCCGTGATGATGGTGTCGGGCAAGCCCTTGTAGGCCTTGTAGAACTTTTTCACCTTGGGCATTTCCTTGATCCCCGGGGCGAGGCCGGCTCTCTTGCCGAGGACCTTGTGGCCGTAGATGTCCTGCCATGCCTGGGCGTCTGCGAAGGCTAGCTCATTGGGGCGCATGCGCACTACGGGGCCGTATTTTTGGTGTAGTTCGAGGGCGTGCAATGGGAGATTGCCCCTGACGAGGTGGAATCCCCATGGGAAGAGGGTGGCGCGGTGAGAGAGGGGGCCAGGGAAGTGGCGAAGCGGGTGGAAGAAAATGTTGTAAATCACATTTAAGCCAAAGGCGAGGAAGCCCTATGTGAGTGGAAAGGGGAGGAAGAGGAGACAGATGTTAGCGGGTTGATTTGAAGCAACTGTTCCCGGAACCGACAGCTACTTACGACCGCGGCAGCTCCTAGAAGCCATTCCGGCCATGTTAGTGAAACAAGCCGCTCTAGGAGCTGACTTTGGATCGGAGACTCCATGACGGCGATAATGATAGAAGACTGAGGATAGAAGAGGGAGGAGAGAGGGGTGCAAGAACACTGGATAAAAGGGTCAGGCAACACTAAACCCAGTAACTGCGGACGTAGATGGCGAGCGGGGGTTTGCGAGATTTTATATTCGAAAGGCCTGTTTCAGAGTCGAGATCTCTCGGGATTCGAGGTACTGGTAGGTAGCACACCGAAGTATCAATCAACATGTTGGGGAGTAGCTAGAACTCGGACAGAAAGTTTGATAGTTCATCTATTCAATCTACGGGACACGGGAGGCAAAGTGACGTAGGATGGGAATCACAACTCTTCTAACAAAAGGTCCACGTCCCGATTCCATAACCATCACTAACAAACAGGGAAGCGCGAGGTTCGGGGCTCCATTACCGAGCCCACGAATTGGTCGAAACAAATGATGCATATACGTAACACTTTGCCTGGCCGCACCGCTTCATTTACTTTCCACACACACGCGCCCGGGCCGGAAACTTTGGAGACACTCCGGGAAAGAGTTGAAAAGGCAAATAGTAAAATAGCACGGGGAACGAACAGGTATTCGGGGTGTTGTAGGACCCCGATTGCCGTCTCGCTTCGCTTCTGCATGCTCTGAAATTGATGATTGAGTTTTTTTGTCCCGCGTTGCTGCCCTGATTCGAGAGCTCTTGGCTTTTCGTGTTGCAGTTCTGTCTCTTCCGAGTTTTGGGGGTAGTTCAATGTTGTATTGGATGCAACCGGCATTCAAAAGATCGACGGGGGAAGGCGGGAGGAAAAAAAAAAAGGAAAAAGAAACGAAGGGGATTGGACGCATCAACTGCAGGCAGGGGAGGACCAGGTTGAGGAAGAGGGGGGGGGAGTGGCTCGTTTTCATCACGGCGTACTGGGCTTCCGCCTATGAAACCCATCGTGTTGAAATGATTGGAAAGGTTCAGACAACCTCATGAAGATCTCTTGGAGATTCGGTGCAGTCGAGCGGCAGCATCCACCTCCACCTCCCTCGAACGCCATGCATCATCCATACGGTCCATCCCGCCACGCCACCGTAGTGCAAGGTGGGTAAAACGGAGCGAGCCATTGTCGAGAAACCTTCCTCGTGAAGGCGAAGGTGTCCGGTGACCATCGAAAATGCTTGTCCGGCATCAACCCTCGAGTGGACACCATCTCAAACTTGCATCCAATCCCCGGGCCCCCCACTAAACGCCAGGACTGATTCGATCGCGATCCATCAAACTCAAAAATCTCGGTTTGTCTTCGGTGTCCCGCGCCGTTTTGTTTCATTGGACAAGTTTAAGCTGTCAGTTTCATTGGCGTATAATGTGGAGCGGAGTTACGTTGAACGTGTAGCGAAGGTCTGTGGACATTTGATGATGCACGGTTTCAACGGACAAGGGGAAGGAAGCCCCCAACGCAGCGAAATCCTAGTAATTCCTGTCCTGTGCCGTCTCCGATACATCGTAGCCAACTATCAACGTGTAACCCGGTTTGTCTTCCCCTCCCTCATACCACTTTCTAATGAGATATTTCGCAAAATTTGCCTAGGCCATGTTAGGAGAGGCCACAAAGACGGACTCTACTGCTATTGACGTGTGTGTTAGCTTGACGGGAGCGTGAGACGTTGGTCTTATCCCCGAAGACATTTCGGTCTCACCCCCGAATAATAATAATCCTTGTCCAAAACCCCAGATGTCCGCCCAAAGCCATGCCCAAACCAGCAATGCTAAGCCATCTTACTCGTCCATTGACACCGTCCGGAGAATTCGGCCGGCTTGAAACCAACGGGAACGCTACATTAGTCCACAAGGTTTGAAGCTAGCCAAGCCCCGGTAATATACAAATATACAGCAGAATATGTGGACATAGATTAATCTCCATTGCCACCTGTGCGTCGTCACGTCATGTTGAGGCTCGCTTCCCTTAAAGTTGATCTTTGGTGGTCACGTAGCTTTGATCGGAGATGCAAGCTTCGGAGTACCACTCACCACCGGCTCCGATTCCATGCGGATTTCGGATTTCAACCGGCGTCAAGGAGGAACTAGGCCGAATTCCTACCGATTTCTTATGAACAAGGTTGGGGCAAGACGCAGGTCGGTCTCCTGCAGCGTTCATTATGCACGGCATCGCGCTTTTTTGCGAATCATGAGGAACTCTCCTTGCCAAGAGGGGAAACTGAGTGACGGATGGCTCCTCTTCCGGCCCTTCTCCTCGCTTCTCCTCTCTTATACTCTCATACGGAATTTGTCTTGGCCGCACATAGCAGAAAAAAAAAACACTCTGGATTAGAAGAAAAACAGAGATGCAAGTGATATTGATGCATGAAACGCTCAGCTGCTAAATCGAGGTGCTGTGCTCAAAGTACTCCCTCCTCCTTTTCCCCCCGGCTGTTTGTCGTAGATCTCCTTGACATAATTCCTACACCAAATCTTGCGAGCTACTCATATACTGCCCCTAACAGCCAGCACACCCGAGGCTCTGTATCTCTTAGTATCGGGTGATAAGGATCGATTTGGCGGAAGACAGGCTCTATCTGTCTCGGTGCTGTGTGGAATTCCACTCGTACTGCAACCCCCACAAATTTAGCCCTATGCTCACAAGCAACGAATCATATATCTGGGGAGGAGGAGGAGGAGAAGAAGAAGAAAACTTACCACTTTGCCATCTTCATCCCCCGTGTAAAGACAAGTCGGCATCGGCGCAATGCACGTAATCGCCGCGTCCTCCTTACCCTCAGGCGCCTTAACAAGCAGACCCCCATTACCCGCCGACCCGCCTGCAGCCATCGCCCCATCCCCATGCTCCAACCTCCTCATCAGCTCCAGCACCCACTTCCCGTTCTTATTCGTCTTCCTCCACACATTGACCCGTCCGCGCTTGTGCCCAGTAAACACGAGATAATCCTCGAGCCACTCGCTGCCGGCACCCTCGTAAAAGGCGCACGAGTGCACGTAGTCGTCGGGTTCCGTGCACACCTTCTGGTCTAGTATCAGCGACCCGTTGAGCGTGTACAACACGACGTTGGGACCCGAGCAGAGCATGACTTCGCCCGACACGTCGTTGATCTTGGCGCATTCGACGGCGCGGTAAAAGGATAGCTTTCGCATGAGTGTGAGACGGTTGAGGTCCCAGACGAAAGTCTGCCCTTCGGACACCGACACGAGCACGCTGAAGGACTTGGACGCCGCCAATGTCGTGATGGGCGTCTTGTGTCCGTGCAGTGGTGATCTTGCCACCAGTTCCACAGGCTTGCCAGGGGATGTCGTGACTGTGAAGACCGAGATCACGCAGTCTTCGCCTGCAAGAATTAGCGTCCTCGAATCGGCAAACATGGCGCAGGATATCTGCCCGTTGTGGATATTCTCAAAGAGGCCTGCCGGCTTGCGGTTCTCCGTAAAGAAGAACCTGACGCTGCCGTCTGCGTAACCCCACTCAAAGTACTTGTCGTGAGGCGCGAAATTGAGCCTGAAAGGCGCTGTGCATAAGAGGCGATCCAGCTTCGGGGCGTACAGGAGGGACGACACTCTTTCGTGGCACTCAAATAGGGGATAGGCCGATCTACTCAGCGCTGGCACGGAAACATCGAGCCTTCTACTGACACCCTTGGGAATATCTCGCGCCGGGTGCGGCTTTGTAAACACTTGATGCGGTGTCTGCCCGAAATTGTGGATCGTCTCAACCGCGATCGCCCTCTCTTGAGGATCCTCGATGGTATCGAGATCCTTGGTGCCACGGTAAGATAATGGGTGGAACACATTCATGTTGTCCACGGCCGCATCTCCTTGCTGCTTGTATCCGAAGATCAGATCGATCCAGTGATGCAAGTTCTGACTGACATATGGGCATTCTAGTGCCTCTCGGTTCTTTTGTATGAAGAGCCTGGGATCTCCCTTAGCCCAAGGTGGTAGAACGACATCGTCTACCCTCTCACCAGTGCTCTCTTTGACACCAAAGTTGTAGGTGTTGATGTTCTTCAGGAACTCTGGGAGGCAGAAAAACTCGGGGGTAAGTTCTCGAACGTCCGTCTTGTTGTTTGAAGAGGCAGACTTCCACGCTCCGGGAATAGAGTGGAAAAGTCGGTCCGCGTGGTCAAATGTGCCTCCCTGCAGGAGTATATACGACTGGACAAATGGTGGTAGCCGAATTAGATATGACGCGACAATCATGGCCGAGCTATAGTGGGTTCCGTAGTGGTAAGGTGTATCGCCCATCTCGAGCAGCGTCCTGTAGTTCTCGTGGAATCCTGGGATGCGGCTCCCGGTCTGGGCTCCCATAGGTCTAGAAAGATCTCTGAAAGTCAGAGGGTCCGTCAGGTCTATCTCATCACTGGTGTAATCCGCGAGCACCCAGGGGAAAACGGGGTACTGAGTCAGGTCGTTGAATGTTCGGCCTGCCATCGTATTGACCATCATAAGATAGTGGAAATTCGAGATTTCACCACGCTGCCACTTCTTCATCACGGGATTCAGAGGTGAACTATTGAAGAGATTTCCGAACTTGGATCCGAAACCCTGCGGCGACTCGTCGACGGCTTTGAGAGAGTCTAACCTCCAGGCATCTTCGGGGTTAGGAAGAATATTAGGCTTGCCCATGTGAGGTGCCTTGTTGAACAGCCTTGCAAAGAGGTCGTCTCGTGTGCTTGGATTGATTGTCGTCAGCAAATAACTCCGACCGTCAGTGAAGAACAACTCGATGGCGACATCTCGGAATAGAAACCGGCGCTTGGATACGCTGATGACATCTTGCCACCGCCAGCTGCGCGATTCCTGTTCCGCACGGAAATTAGCTGGCTTGGTATCCGAAGCCTTGTTGCCCATGATGATCTGCGAGAATGGGTCCCGTTCATCGGGTGGGGCTTGCCATGCGTTGACGATTTCGCCTGTGGTACATTGAAAGACGTTGTCCATGATATAGAGAGCGTCTTTGCCAAGAATCAGGATACCATCGCAGGCTTCAAGTCCAATAATCCGTGAAATATTGTAAACTGCTTGCACCTTGTCTCCTTGCTGTAGTCTCCGCATGACTTTGCGATTTCGGTCTTCAAACCCATCGTCGCCCTCAGGGTCATTGGGGTCCTCCACAAGCTCGAAGTCGTCTTCGGGGGCCACTCCTGTCTCAGATTCGTCGTTCATGGCATCGGCTCCTGTGGGTACCTGGTCTGTCCCAGGCTCGCCCTGCGCCATAGCAGTTACTAGGGACGGTACTGAAGGTGTCGGATGTTTCGTACTCTTAGCTCGGTGTGGCAAAGATTGTGAATTCGCGACAGAGTTGCGCCGTAATGCGGAGCTGGGCAGCTGATCAGTTGCCCTCCTCTTTGGTTGATATTCCTCACACTTCCCAGAAAAGTCTGGGAGCAATCTAAGCCGCATTCGATTTCGGCCTTCCGTAGGATCTAGCCTCCATTTAGAGTTTGCCGAAGTGCTCTCGCTAAAGACGCCGCCAGGTCTTGTCAGGTCCCGTTCCATCTTGGTATAGGCTGAGGCAGTGTATGCCATGTCATCCTGTTGGTCTTGCATGAGACGCTGATGCTTGATGTGCTCCGTATTGAAGATGCTCTTCATCCACGATCCGTTGCCCATTTCATGGCGGAGGATGGTGCTTTCGTTGCGCAGACCTTCATCGTGCCACGCCTTGAGCCTCTCCTTGCGTTTCGCTAGACGGGCCTTAACTGAGTCCGTGCTCTTTTGATTTTCGACGGAGACCCAGTCCTCCCAGCTCTTCGACATCCCTCCGAAGAAAAGAGAGTCAAGCGAAGGACGGTGCTGATCTACCCAGGCGACGAAGGCCTCGTTGTCCACCTCGGTCAGCTTTTCGAAGTCCTTAGTGAGGGATTGCTGCTCCGGAGTCATAAATTGCCCCAAAAGAGTTGACGCCTCATCTGGCTTTTGGACCATCATGATACGTAGAATGCTAGCTGCACTAAGGCGAATCGATTCTCTGTCATCAACCAACTTGGCGTAAAGCTGATACCATATGAGTCTCATTTGGTCGTCATCGCCGGTCAGACAGCCGAGGAGGGCGGGTTGCCAGATTAGAATTTTGTGCATGTGTTCGTCCGCCTCATCATCGGTCGTTTGAGGATCATCAATGGCGGATAGTTTAAGTAGAATCACTTTCAGGAAGCATCTTCGGATGATGGTCACTGCCTGGCTGCAGAGACGGACACTTTTTAGTCTGGTAATCTCGTCTCGTTGAAGATACTCCAACAGCATTCCCGCGATTTCCATCAGAGAATCTTCGCCGCCAAGGAACCAACCCTCGAATACAGCATCGGTAATATGCGAGGTAAACCGTGCCATGTTTGTTAGAATACGGGGCTCACACACCATCTTGAGCTGTAGCTGGAGCGTACTGGCGAGATGAGCGATAGTGTTGCGCAGTATATACGATTCAAAGTAAGCTTGATGCTCCTGGAAACCAGGGGGTATCCTCAAGTAAAGGCCGAACCCGGCAAAGTCTCTCCGCTGGAGAACCTGATCTAGGAGCACATTAATCACAAGCTCCAAGACACCCTCGAGAATCGCATTGTTGGTTTGGTGAGAGGAAGGGAACCTTCTCTTGCGAGGTGATAGCACAGGGGCGAGGAGAGTCGGGCTTGGGCCTTGCGCGGGGGGCGGCTGTGACTGCTGTTGCTGCTCTGTAGTCAACAAAACAAACGAGGATGCTTTCCTAAGGGGCGTTCCTCTCTTGGAGGTCGTGACTGTTGGCTGCACCCCGTGATCCCTCATCCCCGTTGTACGCACGATAGGAGCTGGTGCTGAACCTCCCGCAGGTCGTATGATCACATCTCCTCCTTCAAAATTCAAGACAGAGCCTTGGGAATTGAGCTCAGTCTCTGGGGTCACGGCATCGGTGCTAACGATTGCCGGGTACAGGCCCGACAGGAGGAGGCGCAGATAGTCGGATGATAGGGCGAAATCTCTGAAACTGGTGGAGGTCGAATGGAGATCGGTCAAAAACCGGATAACTGTCTGGAGAACGACTATCCGGGATGCGAGTCTCTCCGCGTCTGTTTGCGGGGTCGTCATAGCGTCCATTGCTTCTCGCAAGTCCATGGACCTCGCTCGGGCTCTTCTTTCTGGACCAGTGGGCTTCCTGGTAGGCTCTTTGGTGAGAGGAAGTGGTTGGACACCAACTTGTGGGGAATCAGGATGGGACTGTTGGCGCACCACGTCCTTGATGGCGCGTTGAACCATGCCGCCTATTACTGGCAAGACGTCTGGGTAGGCAATCTTTGATTTTCCAAAGATTTCTATGAGGTTGAAGAAATTGAAATTGCGATCGAAATTAATCTCAGCCACGTCGTAGCCGAAGAGAATGCTGAAGCAGATGGGCCAGAGCGTAGGGATATCCCACCACCGTTTGAGTCGATCTCCCATAATGACGAACCCTCCAGTCTTCGAGGCAAACTTTGAGGTGTATCCAGGCCCATGACTGACAAGTAGTCGAGCTAGAATTTTGCATCCGTGGACAACAATTTCAGCATCATCTTCAGACAAGAGGTATAGGAGCCACTACAAATATCTCAGTTAGAAATGTGTTGGATAACAGCTGAGAATGGATCCACGATTTACCTTGTTTGTGACTGTCCGGGCGAACCTCTTGATATTGACGGTGCTGCCCTTCTCACAGAGGAGATTGGAAAACATCCCCAGAATGTGTTTTCCAAGCTGCTTCTTTGTCAAGTACGATATCTGACCATTGGCATCTGCAGTGGCCACATCAGGAGTAGGCCTGCGGACTATTCCTAATCCTGGTGTGCTTGATCTACTTATGGCAGATAGTGGCTTTGGCGTCCGAGGTAGAGAGGCGGATGTTGAGTGGAATGAATATGTCAAGAAGAGTGCTAGAGCCCTATGAACCTCACTATTGAAGTTACATTTAATCAAATGTTCAAAGGCCTCCAAGAAAGATGGCAAGACATCTTCGGCAATGGCTTCTGCCTTCATTGCATCAAGCAGTCTCTTTATGATTCCTAATAATTCTGGATCAGTGTCTGCACTACTCAAAGACTCTCGGATCCCCTATTTCAAGAATAGGTACTTACTCATTCGCATCAGCCGACGGCTATTGAATTCGTGGTATTTACTCATGACAGCAAATGTCACAAATTGTTGGTAATAAAGCCGCTGGGTTAAGGGAGCCGACTTCCTCCACGTATCGAAGTCGATCAGAAGAATGCGATAGGCTAGGGGATTGATGATGAACGATTCAATAGGGTTCTCATGATTGTAGCCAACGAAGCCAAGTACAAGGCTCAAGAGCTGGAAAGTGAGCTTTTCCTTCTCCTCATTGCTCATCTGAAGGCGAGTCACGCTGCTGTCACTGCCGCTAAGGCTTCCGTAACCGAGTTTGACCCTGAGAAGCATGCCCATGACTGAATAGCCCCCATCTCGCTCCATAGCCTCACTATTCCGCCAGTTATTTTGGATACACTGGAGGATCACCTCAACGGAACGTAGAGTCTCGTCCGGGGTAGACGCGCGATGGAGTAGTTTCAGGGCTAGGGGTGTGAAGCCAGATAACTGCCACAGGTTGTCGTCGAAGTAGGAGGGCACTGCAACCACAGGCTGACCCGAGAGGATAGCTACGCCCTGGGGCCCTAATAGCGCATCTGTGAGAGACACGGCTGCAGCATTCACGACGATGGTTGCACCGTGCCGCCGCATTAGATGGACTAGGCTACTTGCAGCTGCGCGGGGAAGCGCGCGGAACATTTGAGATTCTCGCGAAAGACAGTCATCATAGATCGCGCCGGTTGGGAGGATACTAAGTAGTATTTTGGATTCGGGAAGAAGGGAAGAGGCCTTTTCTCGAATGGCCTTGATAATGTCGGATGTTTCATCTTTGCCGGGATGGAAGAGTTCATTGCGCAGACCGAGAGCGGCGGATGCCTCGTAGGTCTGGAATCCTCCAAGACTGTCTTGAAAGTTCCCCTGATATCTAGGGCCCAGTCGAAAATGGACGGCCAAGAAATCGTCACTCAGTATTTCCTCAAAGAGGTGGACGGATGCCAACGACCATTTCGAGAAGACGAGGCCAGGCCCTAACTGGGTTGAGAGATCACGCGGAGTACCAACAAAAGCTTGAACAGGGTTCAGTCTGATGTTTGTTGAAGCGAAAGAGGCAAAGCTCTCCGTGCTGCTGTTTGAGATTGGAGGGGGGTTCGGGTAACCGCATCTCAGTTGCTCGACGAACTCTCCGTCGACATAAAGGGAGGCCCTGCTTGCCGACATTGTCCTCGGTCGCCGGTGAACCAACGCAATGTGGTACCATCGCTTCTCTGCAAAAACTACAGATTTAAACCGTACGCTAGGTTTCTGTGAGGTTACGGACGTCTGTAAGATGAAGTTGTGGGTATCTCGTTCCAAATACATGAGTAAGAAACATGTCTGAGTCTTGTCAAAAACGCCGAATATGGTAGTATGAGCAGTAGGATCAAAACGATCTATGCGAATCCAGGCTGTAAAGGTGTAGCCCGGAGAAGACTGTGGAGGAAATGGTCTACCAAGGGTTGAAAGTTCAAGTGAAGAGTGCCCGTAGAGCGACAAGTCGAAGTGAAAGAATGGAGGCCCATGGTACTGAGATACCATCTCTCGGCAAAAGTCAGACGCCTCGGCAGACTGGGAACGAAGGAGGAACTGGGTGTCTTCAAGCTGGTTGACGCCAAGGTACATGAGCATTTTGCAGAGCTTCAAGAGAACCCGTTTTTCGGGCGCACTCAGGCCAGAATTCGAGGCAAACGCAGCTCGTAGCAGCTGAGAGAAGATCTTGGTTGAGTGTACCGCGGTTAGGTTGAATATCGAAGCTGAGATGCTTGCCGACAATGTCTCGAGGAAAATGATTGAGCAAGGATGCGGTGGTTGGCCCTCTGATCTCGGTATCGATAGCCAGAACCCAACCAGCGCACGAAGAATGCCTGGATTGTGAAGCATTGTAGTTGGCCCAATGATCTCTCGGACCTCGCCGGGGACTGAAGACAAATCCCGGTCGCAGCTTTTACAGGCTGCGCTGCCATCATTATTTGTTTCTGCATCCTCAATGCCAGCATCCTCCGCGCCAGGGGACGGGGATTTGGTCGTACGCTCGTAGCTTTGGCAGAGTTTATCAATGCGAGAATCCCCCAAGGAGAAAGCAAGCAGCTTCCCGAATAGGCGGCAGAGGGTCCAAAGACTTGCATCGCTTCCGCCGAGTCCGATGCTAGCGATCGCCTGCTCGAGAGCATCCCAGCCGCCCGCTTCGACTCTATATTTAAAGTATCGTCGGCTTCCTGGATGGTCTCGCAGGCTGAGGTCAAGGCAACGCAGTGTAATTTCCAGTAGCTCGAAAAGAGCTACCATATCTCCCTCGCTCCGTTTTATGGGATCGTAAAAGCCTGAAAAGGCCCTGAGAACGGCAATTAAAGCATTGAAGCCGTGGAGCTGTCTGAAATCATCTTGGACCGTACTCGGGGGCGCGACAGAAGAGACGTGTCGCGCAATTAGGCGGAGGCATTCGGTCAAGTCCTTCGCATCCGGGTATCCACCTGCAGAACGAATCTCCAGCTTTTGAAGGAGCTTATCGAGAAGGCCGTTGAGGACCTGCCGAGCCTTCGAGTTTATTGGCGGCGTGGACGTCGAGGTGGAGGATCGATGTCTAAAGGTAGAGGAGGACATCGTGACCGTCAAAAAAGATGCGCCGTGGTTACACCATGAACATGGCTATGCGGTTACAGCCCAATTTGGGCCTTAGCAGTTGCGGCCGGGTTCGTCATGGAACGGTGAGGCTGTCGTCGGTGATAAGGGTCTGTGATGTCTCGGATACGCGGGGTTGTTTGGAGGTCTTGGTAGGCTACTTTGGGACCGGAAAAGTCAAGCAGATTGGCGAGTCTGGCGCGAGGCCTAAAAATCTAGAAGTGCCCCGGACCGATGAACACAAAACATCCCAGTCTAGTACAAATAGAAAAACCCGCTGCTCCAGATAAAGAGAGGGATAACCGTCGACGAGTTTCGTCTCAGCCTCGTCAATGGATTCCTAGGACCTACTATTGGTCCACTAGAACTCCTGTGCCCAGACGGGCTTCGAGCGCGTGGGTTCAGTGGTGACCAGACCGTGTCGGTTGTCAGCCCCGGCCCCGCGTCGGGTTGCGCCTCTAGCATAGCCACACCCGCGCGACAGCAACTGAATCCCAGCCATCAATACATTGTACTTCGCATACTTCGTAAACTTCTTGCAAGCATGCTGCCACAAATGGACTTAGACCCACCATAGATTACTCACCAAGCCAGGCAGCAGTTTACTTCGTACGAATGGAATATCTCAACAGTTTAGCAGCAAAGAGTGTTTTGGCCTTATTCGTTTATGCAATTCTAGAATTACTAGGATCGGGTTGAGGAAAGCGAAGGCAAGCAAAGATAATTCCGGTACTCAGGTAAAGCTTGGATCAATCAATGAACATTACCATAAGACATGAGGGTATCAGACTTTACGCAGATGAGTTCCAGCTTCCGAAGTTGTTTTCATGGTCCCTGTCGTCAGGCACCAAAACAAATGGGTAAAAGGATCTGCGATCCCTGTTTCGGCTGGATCATACGCCGCATTCCCTCTACACCGGAAGCTAGCCTGGACTGTAACACCTGGATAGTTAGAGGCAATCTTCCTGACTCACAGAGAGAACTCCAACTGAACTGAATCGTGCTGGACAGAGGCCGACTTATCGGCGTTTCCACTCACACTTGAGCACATTAGCCCCACCCAACTTCCCACCATTGAAGTTTCCCCGCCCAAGCTTGCAACGCTGGTCGTGCAGTCGTGGGGAGAGCCTATCGACTTATACCCGCATCTCGATGGCGTTTGTCTATTCACGAATGACATTGATGATACCAGAATAATGCGAGTTCGGAGGCGAAGAATCCATCGCGACAAACCAGCGCGGGCTGGACCTGACAGCTCATGAATACGCATATTCGTCCCAACGAACAAGCTCCAGGAAGCAACAGCTATTACTGGCTCAACCCGGGTAGTCCAGGGTAGGAACCATTGGCTCGCACGTGCAGGTGGTCAGCAGGTACGGAATCTTTGCTTTGTATGCTTGGTTGGTTCGGGCAGGCGAAAACTAGACGCGGGGGAAGCTGCTACTGCAATGAGTTACAGTGCTTGCTGGCCGATCTAAGGCGTTATCTTTCCATGACGTCTTTACACTGTCTCTAGACCCCTACGATTACTGTATAATGCCCCGATAGTAAACTCACCGCCCCGCTGACAGCTCACGTGCGCCTCGCTTGAGAGAAGGTACCAGTGGTCCGAGCAGTTGGTCCCAACAAGATCAGCCACCTTGCGAAGTGGTAGATCTGGGCTGCTATTTAGTGCTAGATTAGAAACAGTGGCAAATATCCCCTCTTGGAAATGCCGGTATCTTGGGATTGATTTGAAGCGACTGTATTTATCAGAGAGATGCTTGTGAATGTCGATTGCGAAGGTCCGCATCCCAGCGCCTAATGTCTGATGGACTTGCTAGATATGCTCTCGAATGAAGCATACTCGTGTTATCGCATTGCCGAGGAAACCAGGGGACCGCTAGCTATTGGTTGAGAATGGGACGCTAGGTCATTTTTGGAGAGGTCAGTCCTCCTCTGCACGGGCTGCCTGGATTCGGAGAATGCGTCACCGTCTACAGTGATGAGGCAACATCGGAGGTATCAAGGTACTCCGTGCTTACACTGTAAACTCGCCGCCTCTTATCTACCCCAGCGCTCCCCCCAACTCCTCCTTCCGATTCCCATCATCATTCTCCATTCCTTCCATCCCATCCTCTCCTCCCATCACTCATCCACCCACTCTTGCCGCCTCGATCATCAAGTCTGGTTCCCTTTGATTTCTTCCTTTCTCTATTGTTTTGTTCGTCTTTTCCGCGTCCTAGTTGCCGCAAGTCGCAGGTAGACAGTCACCCAGGCCTTAACCTCCGATCAACCCCCGACCTGTTTCATCATGAAGGTCGCCGGCGTCTTCTTCCTTGCCTCTCTGGCCGTGGCTTCGCCATCCATCAGCATTGACACCGTTCATGATGGAGCTGCCCCCATCCTTTCCTCTACCAGCGCCGAGACCATTCCTGGCCACTACATCATCAAGTTCAAGAAGCACGTTTCCGCGGCGGATGTGTCAGAGCATCACACGTGGATTCAGCATCTTCACAATGAGGGAGAACAGCGGAGGTTGGAGCTCCGAAAGCGTGGCCTCGGCAACGCTGACATCTACAGCGGCATTAAGCATATCTACAAGATCTCTGACGATTTCTTGGGTTATGCCGGCCATTTCGATGAGGATGTGATCGAGCAGGTCCGACGACATCCCGATGTAAGCCGAGCCTTCGAGCCTTTTTTTTTGGAGTTTCCCTTGTCCTATAACCCTTCGGGCGATTACATACTGATCACAATTAATCTCTTCATTATAGATCGAATTCATCGAGAAGGACTCGATTGTCCACACTCTCGTTCCCATCCCTGGCAAGGAGGACGAATGCAAGAGCGAGGTCGAGAAGAACGCCCCCTGGGGTCTTGCTCGTATTTCGCACCGCGACACACTCTCTTTCGGCACTTTCAACAAATACCTCTACGCTGCCGAGGGTGGTGAGGGTGTCGATGCCTACGTTATCGACACCGGCACCAACATCGACCACGTCGACTTCGAGGGTCGCGCCAAGTGGGGCAAGACTATCCCCGCTGGCGACGATGACATTGATGGCAATGGCCACGGCACCCACTGCTCCGGCACTGTTGCTGGCAAGAAGTACGGTGTCGCCAAGAAGGCCAATGTCTACGCTGTCAAGGTTCTCAGGTCTAACGGATCTGGTACCATGTCCGACGTAGTGAAGGGCGTTGAGTACGCTGCCAACGCTCATCTTGAGCAGGTTGAGGCGGCCAAGAAGGGCAAGCGCAAGGGCTTCAAGGGCTCTGTGGCGAACATGTCTCTTGGCGGTGGCAAGACCGAGGCCCTCGACCGCGTAGTCAATGCTGCCGTTGACGCCGGTATCCACTTCGCCGTCGCTGCTGGTAACGACAACGCCGATGCCTGCAACTACTCTCCTGCTGCTGCTAGCAAGGCTGTCACTGTCGGTGCCTCGGCTCTTGACGACAGCCGTGCCTACTTCTCCAACTGGGGCAAGTGCACTGACATCTTCGCTCCCGGCCTCAGCATCCAGTCGACTTGGATTGGCTCCAAGTACGCCGTCAACACCATCTCCGGTACCTCCATGGCTTCGCCTCACATTGCCGGTCTTCTCGCCTACTACCTCTCTCTTCAGCCCGCTATCGATTCCGAGTTCTACACTCCCCTCACCCCCGCGAAGCTGAAGGCCAACCTCCTCAAGATCGCCACTGAGGGCACACTCACCGACCTCCCCAAGGATACCCCTAACTTGCTTGCCTGGAACGGCGGTGGCTGCAGCAACTATACCAACATCATCGAGCAGGGTGGTTATAAGGTCAAGACCGTCTCTAACCTCGCCGATGACTTCGAGGATCTTTCCCTCCACGTCGTCAAGGGTGCCAAGGACTTCGCCAAGATTGCTGACAAGCTCGGCGCGAAGGTCCACGATATGGTAGAGGAGGAGATTAACAAGCTTTTGGCCGACCTTGAGGCTTAGGCAGGAAGCTCAACCCTGATGCATTACTAGGCATTCATTGCAAACACTTTCCTTTTTTTGTCACATCTTTACCATCGGATTTTGATATTTTTTTTTTCCGTTCGGGTCTCCATATTGTCCCGTGTCTGATATACGCTGGTCTCATGGGTATTGTTTTCATGGTCGTTTAGGTGCATACTTGTGTTGTGGACAGGTTGCTCAGATAGCGCAATAACAACGCGGTGCATTTCTCATCTCGTATAACGGGGATATTACTGAACTTGGTGAGGCCTTGTGTGACGTCGGTGATGCAAGCTCTACCGACTATAAGCGAATCGACCCTTCCTCTCGAGTCTTCCGTCACTGCTGTCCAATGGCATTCGCTGTCACTTCTCTACCATTGGAAACTGCGTCCGAACGAATGGCATAACAATCAAGTTGTGGACCTGTAATAACTCCAGTACAGTCCGGGAAGAGCAAGAGGTACATTGATGTATCCCATCGCCTTTGCTGAATGATGCATGCATGGCCCGCATGCACCTACCACACATACCACCCTCGTACATCAACCCCTTCACCCCCAGCGGCTTCCTTGTTGTAAAGGGACCTCCCCATATCTCCCGCCTCGATTATTCGAAGGCAAGTATGACTGGCCCGAAATCTCTACGTCGGCGGGGCAGGGCCTGCCTGTCCTCAAGCATGAGTTCCCTGGACCAATTGACCATATGGCGTCAGCGATGCGATCCGATGAATGCATCCAAAGTGATTCCAAGATCTTCTTTCACTATCCGTCTAGCTCATATCCGGACTTGAATTCATCAGCATCAGCCATGCCTTTACCTTTCTAGAGTCGAGCCGATCCCCAAAAGCTTCCGTTCTATAAATCCAAATCGCGACAAGACCTGAACCCCACCCCACCTCGATCACATATGATAGTGTTATTCCCGACGCAAGGCTTAACCAGACTTCCTCATGCTTCGTCGAAATAGCTCTAGGTCCGGACCGGGTCTGTCCAGGAGCAAGTCAGCAGCATCGATACGGAGCGCGGTCACAGCCCTGGAGCACATCAGTCCCGCCGATGCTATTCGTGACGCCCACATAGCTGCCGCAGTTTCGTTTGCACGTGCAAAGGAGAGAGAGAGCACTGGATCTGCAGCTGACAAGACGGAAAATCACCTTTGGGAGGACAAAGTAGCCCCTAGCCATAACCTTCGGCACCGACAAAGTGTAAGATTTGTGAAGAATGAGCCAATTCGTCCTAAATCCGCGGCCTCCCAACCAGGAAGGACCCGACGTCAAACTGGCGGTTTACCATCGAACGCTAGCAATGCCTTAGGGAGCCGATCCCTGAGTGCAACCGGGTCATTGTGTGACAGGCTCGTGACGCATACACGGGAGTGTACATACACCCACTCCTCGGAGGCAGGACCTACTGGGCACTATGGCTACCTTCTTGAAGAGAACGTGGGCCCAGCATCCGTCCCTTTCCGAAAGCTTCGCAAATCCAAATCTATGGGGGCCTCGTCAACAACTTCTTTTTCACAGAACCATTTCCCCGAGAGCACGCGTCCTCTATATAAGGGTTTCAGCTCTTATACTTTGCGCAGGCAAGCATCTCTAGACAACGAGAATCACCATCCACTTAACTTTGCCCACAAACTACGCCCTCCAAAGTCTATGAGCTTCCTGAAATCGCGACACGGAGTGCAGATTCGCAAGTTTACTCAACAGCAGAACGACCTTGCCGTGGAAATGGCACAAGAGATGTTTCGAGAGACAGCTCAGCAGCAACAACTCAAGTCCTACGGCTCGCGGCTCTTCCGATCGAGAAACAAGCACAGCGATATGTCGTATGAATCGCGTGCGTCTCTTCGCACCAGCAGTTACAATAGTTCGACTCTTCCTCCGTCTTTCACAAGCACCAATCTATCGACATCCAGGGGTGCTTTCAAATCGAAAGCGAGAAATGTTTCGGCTAGCTGGAAGAATAAGCTGAAAAAGCTGTTCCACTTTCCGAAGAAAGACAGTGGGAGTCAAAAGTCGCTTTCTGACGGTGTCATAACAACTGAACTGCACCGAGATTCGGAGGATAGCACTGTCGCCTCTTTTTCTGAGCCGAATGCGCACCCGGTTTCGATTGTCTATCCGGTGGAAAGGGTGCCATGCCGAATACCTTCAGTGCATAGCATTCCTCCTCAAGCGCAACTCCTATCCCGCCAGTGTAGTGTGGAGAGTCTTCGAAGCAATCAACACCCTAGAGATGACCATCGGGCGACTAGCTGGTCTACTGCACCTGGACCCGACACTACGGAGGCAGTTGAGCCAGCGCAAGAATGGGAAAACGGTCACCGTCTTTCAGTTATCAAAGAGAACGGCGCATATGCGCGATCTCCCAATGCCCCAAAGCCCTTCAAGAATCCCGGCGAGAATTGGGGTCATAACGTCTCCAAAAATGTCAATGCTGTAGCTGACGGTCCAGGACGCATTGTAGATAGCGAAAGGGTATACTCCGCGCTGATGAAACGGGAGAGAGAAAAGCGTAAGACCAGATCATCCACGGAAGAGGCGTATCATATCCAAGGTCCTCAGCTTTCAGGAAGCACCACAACTGAAGACCTTCACGAGTCTCCCTCGACAATACGATGTGTGAATCCAGACGACGATGTTTTCGTCGATCACCACGAGGCAGAGGAGAATTCACAGAGCCAACAATCTACAATCAAAGGAAGTCAGGTTTCGTCGACTGGAAGCGTGGTGAGAAGATCGCAAGCTTCTCCACAACCGCTATCCGTTCGTCACTCGGCATTTTTCGGCAGCCCGGATAGCCATCTCTTCCGAACGGCTAGTCCCTATCGCCGAAGTCTACAAGAGGCTATGAATGCTGCGGAGACTTCGTGGGCGGCGGAGTTGAACTACATGCCGTCCATGTCCGACCTCAGCTTGCCAGTGAGGTGTCCCAGTCCACAGAACTCCGATTACGACGCTCACGACTATACATCGAGCGTTTATTCATCTAGATCGAGCCTTGCTGCGCGTCAAGAGTTGCCAAATATTGCGACGTCCCAAATTATTACCCCATCCCCGAGCCAGTCCTCCTCACCTTACGGGAACGCAACAATTTTCGTGAACCAGCGTACTCCTCAACCCAACCAGGGGCTTGACAGAGTGCTCTCTAACGCAAGTTCAGTCGAATGGAAGAGTTGGCTCTCATCTAAGATGGCTAGTCTTGAGGAGACGAAACAGTCCAGCTCAGACACCCTAGGTCCGAATACAGACAAAGTTGACGAGCTTGGGATGCCAAAGGGAGCCCACCACGTTCGAGAAGGAGCTGAGACTGACAGTCCTGATACGGACCTAGGTAGAGGAAGCCCGACCACGACACATAGACACTCATCTGGCGATCCGATGGGAGCAGAACCTCCAATTAAACCTGGAAATCTCGAATATATTTGTGCTGACCAAGATGGTTGGGATACCAATGTGGAATACAACGGGCAAAATGAGAATTTGCGGCCTGGCTCGAATTCAAGATTGGTATTAGGCGGCACCTCAGATGAGGCACCGCCAATTCCTCCGAAGAGCAGGCTTCGTCCAAGGCCATCACTTCCCAACTTACGGACCCCAGGTGACTCCAAGGCTGACAAACTCCCAATATCATCACCGCGGCTAAACTCGTCCAAGGGAGGCGAGAGCCCGTGTGCTGGCCTCTCACGGCGCCCCGGAATCAAGCTGACTCGGAGAGCCCGACTAGAGCCGAAATAGAATACAAGCTCGGGCGTTGGGAGAAAGCTCCTTACTCCAAATACAACTTTTCCGCCAGTCCTGGAGGATACACCAAACACGTCAAAGCCGAGTTCTGGTAGCCTCCGGCCTATTCCCAAGGACGACGAGCCGGGATTGATGACTCCAGTGATGGGGAGTAAGGAGATGGTGGACATATTCTTAAGCAGTCGGCGACGGAGAATAGCAGGGAGCGATGAAACAGGAGCATTTATTTAAGCTCGTCTGGTCCTTTTTTTTTTTAATGATATTATACAGGAGGAAACTTGGGGCTCCGGAGCCCACTTACGGCTCTGTGAATGAGTCTTACACGCTCACGCATAGGTATATGATTGTGTTCCGGACACCTGTCGTGGTGGGTTTGCATTTGTGTAGAGGGGAGATGGTAAAGGGACAGGTAGTAAACCCTTGCATTAACAACAGTCTATCAGGCTCAATATAATACATAAAAATCACATAATTAACTCAGTTACTCTTTTTATCACCCGCCAAGTGCCATTCGAACAAGCGCGTGAACCTTTCCTTGCCATCGCCCACCATCGTCTCTCCATGACAAGGAATGACGGTATCAAAGTCCCAGGACGCGATGCGCCGGATACTCTTGTTAAAGCCCTCCCGGTCCCTCCTGGAGACCATGTACCACAAGAACCTCCTCGGCCACGTGAGGTCCCCGTCAGTAGTACCAATCGCCGTGAAGATCTTGTCAAAAACGTTGTTCCTCCTGTCCCTGGGGTCAACGCGCGAGTACTGCTCCGTCGCAGGCAAGTTGAACATGAGGTCCGCCTGGATGAGCACGCGCTCGGGCCTATAGTAGAAGACGATTTCGCGATTCAAGTGGGCGTCGACGTACTCGACGTCGAAGTCGCGATCGAAGGCCTCATCGACGCTTACTTTTGCGCCGTCGTTCTTCTGCTTGCGGGAAAAGACGACATCGAAGTTGGCGAATTCCGGGTCGGATTTGGTTCTCTTCTCGGGGAGACCCTCGGGCCCGATGAGTTTGGCGTTGGGATAGGCGCGTTTCCAGTCGGAGATGAAGATGTGGTGTTCTATATCCGGCGCAATGATATAATCCACCGAAGGGTTCTCGGTCTCTCCCCCCGCTAGGTCGACGATGGCGGCGCGGACCTCGGGGGTGAGGGCCACGGGGGAGAAGACGGCTATGGAGCCGGAGGAGAGGCGTACGAGGGTTGCGCGGCCGCCGAAGGAGATGAGACCGGCGCGGGTGAATGGGAGGGAGAGGGTTGTGATGTTTGGGGTTAGGCGGCGGATGACGAGGACGGAGGAGGGAGTTGCGGGGATGAGTTTTGAGGAGGATTTGGAGGTTGAGGAGGTCTTTTGGGTTGTCATTGTGACGGGCCTGGTAGGTGTGAATGTGAGGTAGAGGAGGGTTGATGTGGTGATGAGTGTTGGAAGTAAGAGCTTAGAGTGCTTGTATGGCTGTTTTTGTGGTGTCTTGAGAAACGAGTCATTTGATGATGAAGGGGAGGGAAAAGGCTCACTTTTTGTATGATGGCAATTGAGGCCCTTGTGCGAAGAATTCTGATAAACATTTCAAATTTGGCGCAGGGGAACGAGTCGTCCCAAGTATATTTCAAATTCCTAAGGTATTCCAAATTCGCAAATTCCGAGGTTCAGCATCGAGAAATTGAAATCAACCGATGACGCCAATGGCGATGACCTCATCCTGGGGGGGAGCGGGAAGGTGCGAGTGTGGAATGTTAAGTCAAATATTTCACGTGCAAGTCAAGCATAAATTTTGGCATTAAGCCAGCTGCAGAAAGTGCCCCGAAGACGCCGGATGTGCCGATTGGGCGGGCGGATTTCCAGGGTCGCATTACGGGGTGAAGGTGCTGAGAAGAAGCCCGAAGTAAAGAGGCTTAGACGCCGGACAGAGCTGGTTCGTTCAGAGTTTCCCCGGCGGCGTGTCTCATTGTCCGATTTGGATTTGGAATCATTCAGACAAAAGAAAAAAAGAAAAAGAAAAAAAATGCAGTCTTGTTCAATTATCAATTGATCTATCACGCAAACTCGCCGCTCTGGGACATCAAATTTGAAACCACCTTTCTCTCTTTCACTTTTATTTTATCTATATATATTTTTTTTTCTTCTAATCAATTACTTTCTAAATTTGTATCGTCTTTTTCTTTCCTTTCCCAAGTGGGCTCTTCTGTGCCGCATTATTATTCGGGGCGAGATTTTCCATCACACCAATTCGTACCTGTGTTCCCCAATATATCTCTATGGTGATACTTTTAACAGCGGGTCCTCGTCCGTTTATTCCCGGACTGTCGTGATCACGTCGTCGTCGTTGTCGTCGTCGTCATCCTCTTCTTCTTCTTCTTCATCCTCCTCCTCCTCATCATCTTCTTCATCACCTTCTTCATCATCCTCTTCATCATCCTCTTCACCATCCTCTTCATTGACGACGTTGAATTTCTGCCGACCTTCATGTTGGATGCCCTCTCTAAAGCACTCGGCAGCATACCGGTCGTGGTCGCGCCGGTTTATATATATCGCCCCCGGATTGCAGGAGCAGTACAGCTTAGTGCAGCGAAAGAGCCGCTCCGCCCAATACTCGTGGGCTTCCCGAGTGAAAAACCGCGCCGACTTCTGACAGCAGCACCCTTCCTCCCCACAGGTAAAATTGCCGCAGTCGTCCCTGTAATCCCGGTGTTCTCTATGACCCGGGTACAACTTTGAAACGAGACAGACGCAAAACTCCGCGTTGCAGTACGTGACCTGGCGGTCATTGGCGCGACGCCGACTTTTGAAGAACGGGTCTGTGGCCGTGTAATTGACGTGTCTAGCCTCCGTCGTGTCGAGAGCGAAACGGACCTTCTTCGGGGCCTTTTGTGGGGTGGTTGGGGACGATTGGTTGCCTTTCCTGCGTGCCGTTCTGTCGACGAGATCTAATGCATCGTGGAGCCTTTGGGAGCCATCAATGTCGTGTTTGATTCTTGCCAATCGCTCTTTCAGACAGTACTGTTCGTGGTGTCTGAACTCTTCGAAAGTGAAGCTGTAAGGGCCGTGAATGCCACCTGTGGAGGGCAGAGCTTATGTTAGGGAGCTTCCAAGAAGGAGAGGGAAAGTGAGGAGGACTTACAACCTAGTGGCGGGTGACACCTCGGGATGTCTTGATCCTCGTGTCCGTCTTCGTCCTCATATTCACCGTCACCTCGGCGGAACGGAGGCACAAAGCACAGAAACGGATCTGCGCCGAAGGGACCAAAGTCGCCCATCTCAGTATAGGAGGAAGATGTATATCAAATGCGTCGTCGCCGAATGACCCGCCGATCCGCAGTCGCTAATAGAAGCCGATTCCTATAGTGAAAGAACGTGGGACAGAGAATTGTCTTATGAAAAGAACCAAGAATTGTTCGGATGTCTCTGAAAATACACGAAAAGGGTTGCTTCTGAAGGTAGCGGAAAGGTTGTGAACGCAGCACGGCCCAGGATATAGGAGTGATTTCAGGAAGGATACAGATCGAACTTGTAGGAGCTGCTCGAAAAATGTCACAGGCTCGTGGAATGGAGAGGGACAACTTGGGCCGCTAACACCAATACCTACACTCGGCAAACCCCTAGGGTCGGAAGCAACTGTCAGGTCGGCCCCCATCACTTCATTGAGTAAGGGTATTAAGGTCGAATTACGGTCACTAAGCCCCTGGATTTATGGGCTGCTATCCTAGCGCGGAAACCGTTGATCCTTCAGCGAGAGCCTCGTCACTATCACTCTGCGCTAGATTGACCTTTATCGTACCTAGAGAAGAGCCTTGATGTAGGCTTCACAAGTCTCACATGCAAAATCGTGCATTTTCCACGTGGGGGAATGCTAATATAGATGGCGAGTTGACCGAGCCTTGCTCAATCATCAGCTATGATGGTCCCAAGGTGATTCCTGGGCCGCTCCTTTCTCAACAAGAAGTGAGAGGCATTTTCAATGCCTCCGAGGAGAAGTTTACTGAGTATTTTAGAGAATCTATTCGAAATCCATGGCTCCAGAGAAGTATCTAGCATTCAGCTTTGATGCTGCTGTCGATGAGAGGGCGAGAAAGCGGGTGGGGTAGTCTCCCGGGGGTGCTCGCAGGATAGCCACATGCCAGTTCATATAGTTCAGATGCATCGTGAGATGAAGCTCGATGCGGACTGGAGTTTATCCATCAAGGGGACCACCCTAACCGAACCCGGCGTTGAAGTGCCTTGGGACGAGGGGGTTGAGAGACCAAGTAGGATAAGGCTAGAAAATCGACCTAAACTATGACTGCTGAACTAGCGGGGTGTCCTTATCCAAGCTTCGTCCCATCCCTTCCTATAAGTCTAGGAGAAATCCGTAGCTATCTAGACTACTTCGTTAGACTGGTCCCTGCTACGAAGATCCCACGAAGAGTATCCGGTTAGCGAGTAATATACCTATTCTTTCCGTCTTTAGGTGTAGACGGGTACGGGCTGTGAGGCGTTAATCTAGGTGCAGTTTCAATGAGGCAAGGAAAAGCGATAGGTAATCATCCCTAGGCTTTGTGCGACAACTGCGGATCGGCGTTATTTCTCACGGGTGGGCATAGAGGTTCAAGATGGAGGCCTAGAAAGATGGCGAGATATGGCGAAAGCAGAAACTTCAGGAAACATATTCACGTGGAATACTCCCGTGCTACAGATCCAACGTTCTCTTGGTCTTGTGATTAAGCCCAAATGCAGAATTGATGGTGTGCATACACGTCGGAGCAGGGCCATCTCTATGCGTTTCCCTTGTTTCGTCCTCTTACATCAAAGTGTTGGCGCCTCAGTAAGCATGCCAAACAATAGTTTCGTAGGGACACCAGATGCTTGGAGAAAATAGGGGAAGAGACATTCCAGATGAAAGAAAATGGAAGGGACCCCACGATGAAGGTGAAGTCCGCTATTCTGCCGCCTAACGCTCACCGCTTTTGTCTCTCTGACGCACCAAAAGTACTTGCGTACCTTCGTACTTTGTACATGGACCCTGGTCCCCTCAAGCTAAAGATCGCCCCAAGAGCCGCCGTACGCGCACAGGAAGCAGCCAGGCGACACGGTACCATGGTACAACTCGATCGGTACCTGCCTGCACGCAATTCCGACGTATAATCTGCAAGCTCCCCCAATTTTGAAAGCCGAGTGCAGTTTCTCGATTATCCTCACTCCGCCCAGATTAACCTTATTTTCCCTTTTCTCTCCCCACCCCCCAACACTGACGCATTTGCACCACCGGCGTAGGTCCATCCTCGGATCTCTCGCGTTCTGCCACTGTGAACTGCCTCTTGTCTCAGTCAACGCCCGGGCCTTCCTCCTAACCCATCGCGAAACCCTGCAACCCTGCCCTCACAATCTGTAAACAATCCGCCTCATTTTTTTATCGTCAGGAGAATGGCCACTCCCGCTCAAGATCGGCCGCCTTCCCCGACTCCTTCACAACTCCCGCCAGTACCCGGATCGCCCACCTATTCCCTCGCGTCGACAACAAACCCGCTCTCCCAATACAACCTCCCCCTTCCTCCACCGCCTCGACCCCCACACGCGGTCCTCACGAAAGCCGATCTCGAACAGTCCCAACAAGCATACTCCGATCTCATCGCGACGGCCAAATCGTACCGAATTGCCCTAGCGACCCTCTCCTCCGCCTCATCCGCATTCGGAGCCGCTCTCGAATCGTGCGCCCGGTTAAAAGAGGCTCGCGCTGATGCTATCGGCCCGGCGGCCGCGGCTTCGCTGAGCACTAGCTTTACGACGAAAGGCTCGTGCACGGCGGATTTGCTCTTGGGCGCGTCGGGTGTACATCACCTGATTGCGAATCACCACCAGATCCTAAGCGAGACGGTATACCGTAATTTTGAGGTCCCCTTGCTCCACGAGCTCGATAAGTGGCAGAACGACGTCGATGATGAAGCGGAAAGCTACGAGAGGGCGGTCAAGACGCAGAGCAAGGAGATAAGGAAGCTGGAAAAGGAGGGTCTGAAGCTCCATAAGCAGAGGCGCCGCGATGTGGCCAAGTTCAGAGCACACCTCGTCCAGCTCACCACCAAGCTCGATGGCCTAACGACCCTGCATGCCGACCACTCTCGGACTTTGCTGCGCGATAGCCAAGAGACTAGCAATAAGATCCTGGACGCATCCTGCAGCCTTGTCCGTGCAGAGGTGGACATTTTCGAGTCTCTCGCACGCAAAGGCTGGAGTGGAGGCGGCCTTGATGACCTCCTCGAGAAGGGTACCGATCTTTTCGCCCCCGACGAGCTCCCGTCTCAAGGTCCTTCCGCTGGAGACGGCTCGAAGCTTTTCAGTATCCTACCGCCTAAGAGCATCCTCGCCGACTCCGCGTCGGACTCGGGGCGCGCTAACAGCAACCGTTCCGATGTTCTCCTTGCCGATGGGGAGCGGTACCAGAGCCTGGCTGGCGTTGCTAACTCTGAAGGTGGACCCGCGCGGCCGGCGGATTCTGATAGCTTATTTTCGGAGTTTAACCGATCTCGAGGCGTGAGACCTTTCTCTCCGCAGCCTATCCGAAGAAGTCCAACAGACGTCACTTTTGACAGCCTAGGTGCTGGAGAGCCTTCAAGCACGAAGATAGAAGAGCAAGATGTTGAACACGAAGAACAACACGAGGAGGAAATGCAGCGGTCCGAGCTCAGGATACCCACAATCGAGACGGGCTTGCCGAACGTTGACGAGAGCGAAGAACATCCGTGGAGGGATGAGCCGGGAGCTTCCCCGCGCGAAGAAAGCCAGAGTGACCAGAGCTCACCCGGAGAGGAGGAAGACCGGGGACGGAGTTGGACAGATGTGAGAGACGAGACGAAGTAAATGGCTAGTAGAGATGATAGTTCGGTATTTTTGAGAGAGATGTTGTAATTTGTCTAACATGGACGCGGCGATCGGTAATTTCCCGCGGTCTTGGTAATTATCACAGGTGGCGTTCCGGCTGGGAGGCTAGGTACATTGATGTTTTATTTTCTTGTATACCACGAGGTGGTCTCTCTTTTGCATTGTACCGTGGAGTAAACACGTAAATTTTCACAACATACTCGAGGGCAATGTACCTCATGCATACAAGTACAAAATGCTCAGATCATTACATTATCTGTCAGAAAACGGACCTCCGAAACCCGTCACCTTCCCTTGTGCGCAAACCTAGCGCCAAAAACCATGGTATGAAGAAAAGCAAAGAGAGGAAAAAGAGAATGACTCTGCCACTTGGCAAGCGTATCTATGTAATCTCTATTGGGTCGAAACAGTGACCATGAATATACATTCTGTGGGCGGAGACCCTGGCCTTGCATAAATTTTTTTCTAATCCTCCTTGTCAGCGGTCAAGATTTCTCCGCCAAACAAGTTAAACGTCGCATCCAGCCACCATATAAACTTCCAATATAAACTCGCTCGGTTCCAATCAAAGTCGCCTAGCTCGGTGCGCGGGACTTCGTTTCCTATCATGGACCCGCTGAACCACTTCAGGAACGGGATGGCGTTGATGATGCGCTGCGTGAATGATTGTTGAGGAAGTAGAGCCTGTTCGGCGGGGAGCAGCGTGGCCCGACGAGCAGTGGGGATCTTTCTACAAAACACGCTATCCGCGGGGCCCTCTTGCGTCGCTGTAGTGTGGCCGCGATGGGAGAGGTGGGCATCGGTGACGGTGGCAGAGGAGAGAGTGTTGGAATCAAGGGTGTGCGAGGATATCCGGGAGTCGGGGGATGAGGTACCGTTGGTGGGGATGGCGAAGGGGTCGAAGTGATCGGTGGCGAAGACTGAGGCTGCCCTCTTGTCGTGGCGTCCACGACCGGAGTCCTGCCTAGCTAAGTTAGGAACGGACCTGGATCTCGGATGGTCGTTGAGGCTCTCGATATCGGGGATGGCCTCGTCCCTATTGGGAGGATGGCCATGGTAAGGCTCAACGTGAACGATATGACCGAGGATGCTCTGAGGTGATGCGTAAATAGCAGTCTCAGCCGCATCAGCCGACTCGAAAGTAACCTTTACCCAGTGCTCTCCGCCATCAGCCTTGTTGACCTTTGCCCTTTCCTCGGGTGTCAATGGCTTTTGCCTAATGAACGCGGGATCCCTCAACTCGGACTTGTATCTCGTATGGTCCAGGGGTGGCTGCCTAGGATAATCCTCGCAGATCCTCCCGGCGAGTTGCTCGTAGTGATTTATCGCAGCGTACTGCTGATCCGAGTTTTTGTATCCCCGAAGGATCACCTCCGTCGGCTCCTTCTTGACGAGGCGATGTTGGGCCGAAGGAGCCTCTTCGTTCATCATCGACGATGCTTTGCGGCTCGCCGCCGTCGCGCTCGCATTTGCCGGCGGCGCCGCTTGCGTAGATATCCACTCGCTGAAAACTTTGTCGGCCGCCGTCAGAGTAGGGTTGTCCCTCTTAGCTGGCGTCCCCGTCCTTGATCTCGCGCGTCGAGTCGACTTGCCGAAGGATCCCGTCTCGGCTACGGCGCGTCGTGATCGCGTGCTGCCTGCGTGGCCCTCCTGCCTAGAATGTATGTCAGTATCCTGGGACTGCGCGATGGAACATGAATGTTGATGGCGGGTGCCGACATACTGTGGGAAGACCATCGCATATGGTCGTTGGATGCCATCATCGCCGATGTATAGCTCCTCGTCGGGAACGTTATGTAGGATTAATGGCGCCATCGATGCTATATTCTGTGGAGAGGGGGAAAAAAAAAGGACGCGTCTCGAGTGAAACCGATTGCTGGATTAAGCTCTTCGAATCTTCGACAAAGAGGCACTCGTAACTCGTGGGGGATGGTTTCGGATGATATCAGTCACAAAAACGATTATCCAGGGATGAATGTGGACACCAGGTTTGGCTTCTGAAATAATTTTGTTCCAGCTCCCACAGCAACGAGAAAGGGAAAAGCTCGGACCTACAAGGCAAGAAGGCCAAGTCCAAGTCCAGAACAGGGGACCCACCCGAACTCGGCTCACCCCACATCCTGTCATTATGCAATTTTGAGCCGCAAATGCTTATGTAATCAATTCCACCAAGTAGGCTCCATCAACTGACGACATCCGACTCAAGACTGGAATTCGAAGTTGAACCTTCCATCATTTACTCGCTTTCCATCTCCGATCGACGACTGAAATAAGTCGGATATAGCAGTGGTATTCTGTAAACTACGAGATTATGCCAGAGCCGCTTTACAGAGTCTTCGTCCGGGTTCCCATTCCTCGTGGGGACTTTGTGGATCCTCCTCCAGTAAGTCGGCTTCCGGAGCCCCACCATCCCCGATGCCGACCGACTCTTGCCTCGAAAGCTCACAGGAATAGGTGAACTGGGATTCTAGTAAAGATGAAGCGCTCTGGAGAATTCTCTCGAAAGTAGCCAAAACTCAGATAAACTGTAAGGGACCACCACATCTTGTTTGTATCCGTTTGCTAGCTGCTGATGCCTAGACAGGGACCGAACTGTACGTTCAAACCATGAGAGATGGAATTAGCAGCCCCCCTGTCATCTACTAACATACACACGCAGAGCTGCACGGTTCGAAGTCACAGTAGACTTTCTCATCAGACAGGTTGCATACCTCACGGAACAACATGCTTCCCAAGTAAGAGATGAACTGCGCAAAGCAGCCGCCGCGGCGAAGAGTTCCGCCGCGCCGTCCCCCGTCCCCGGGTCTGAGCCTTTTATGGGCCACCAGAGAACCATTTCAGCTTTGTCCTTGAGACGAGACTCCCCATTCCCGAGAAACGAAACAAGTGGCGCTCCAGGCACTCCAGTCGACACATCGTACCGGCCAAATATATCGAGAAATCCGTCGGGTAACTCGCCCTTTCAACATAATCTCGGCGGCGGATCTACACCTCGGCCGGGCAAAGATTCCACAAGAGGAGAAGGCTTAGTACCAAGGCGGAGAATTTCGTCTTTGCCTATGGCGAATGCGAACCCTCCTTCTCCCGGTCCAGCCGACACGAGTTCGGACGACTCGGATGACTCCAGCCCCGCACAGTCACGAATCATTCGGCGACCGCCCCGATTTCAATCACAAGATGATCAGACATCGTTTGGCGATGACGAAGATGATGCCGAGCCGGCGTTCCAGGCGTTCAACCAGGACGCGTCGGATCTAGCCTCGACCCTCAGAGGGGATCAGAAGCGACCCTTCGAGAAAGACAGGCTTCACCGGTCGCAGACTTCGGATTCATCGACAGGGTCTGCGGCCATTGTTCCACGGATGGTAAAGGCTGGGAATCGTGCGTCGTCAGGCCCTCTCTCGCCCCGCGCCGCCCAGCTCTCAGGTCGCAGTGGCTCGGGTGCCGGTAAGACGGCCTCGAGGGAGGGGAGCGAAGGCACACCCAGTATGGGAAGCAGCTTTAGTGACCTTGACGGTAAGCGTTGCATCGAGGGCTCCTTGGCGAATTGGATACTGACAAGCGCGATCTGACAGACTCATCTGTTACGCAATCTGCAATGGCAGAGGCGTTGGCGGCCGGATTACAGGACGGAGCCATTGGCAGCCGGTTGAGCATTGCTCAATCTATTAGTAGGAGGTTCGTTCCTAGAAAGGGAAATTGAAACTCTGTTCTCACAACCACGACACGAACATACGAAACAGTCATTTCAGGAATCTTGAGGTCTGGTGTTTAATATACAAGGATGCAATTATACAAACAACTATCACCGAATATCAAATAACCTAAAGATCAATAAGATAAATGAAAAAGAAAACAAAATCCTAAAAAAATAATTAATAAAAAAGAATCACCTCAGGGCCCTACCTCCTCCTACCTAGAGGGTTGCGCCTCCCAGGACCACTGCTGGCCAGCCAGATGGGGGTCTCCATTCCTCGGGACATTTCTTTAGTCGACCCCTGGAACCGAGCACACGTTGTCGTGAAAACTTGAGCGCGGTAGGACTCGAACCCAAGCCCTCCCGAGGGAGGCAACGGAATGCTATGGCTCGCCAACTACGTCAGCTTGCTTCGGTGACACACCGGTGTCATATTCTTTATTATATAACTATTGCAGGGAAACTTTTTGGGAATTTCGGTCAGGAAGGAGTGAGTCGCTTGCTTGGTGAGGAGGGAAGTTGAGGAAGGGGCGAGGGGAGGCGTTGTTTTGATATTGACTGTTTGGCGTTCTGGGACATGTAAGTACCCGCCTTCACATACCACTCAGGTCGCACGAGCTCATACCAAGCCATAAATTTATGCTACTCTCTGGAATAATATTTCAGGTTCCCTTGAATGTCTCCCGTTTGAAGATCCAAACACTGATCGGCCGGAAAGTCCTTACGTGGCCTTGAATATCGACTTGGTCCTGAATATCATGGCCATTGGTTCTCTTTGGCGATTTACGGCAAAGGACATCAACTAAGAGGAAGGTACGGGTTTGCCATCAGCACATACCAGCAAACAGAATTTATCTTAAATACGGGGAAAGTGCTTGCAACGCGCGTTTCTGTTCCTCACAACTTCAACATCTACACCTCGAACCCAACCCTCGGCACTTACCTCTGCCATCAAGTGAGCATGTCCCTAAAAGGCCTCCTCTTGCCTCAAGCATCACAACACTAAGAGACGCCATCGCGAAGCGTTGACACAGTCATCATGTTCTACCGACCGTGGGCCGCTCTTCCCAAAGACGCAGAGTTTCCCTGCGATCTCAAGGCCCTAGGGTAGGTGCACCTGAATGGCTTTTGTCTAGTGTCCTGCTAACGCTCTGGTTGCAAAGCTACTTCGTCAATAACGAGGACGAAATCCGGAGCATTGAGAGCCCGGATACTTATTTCAAGTACCACGTTGACCTGCTCGAGCGCGTCAACGACCGCCAGCGCTTTGCCTTCAATAGTGAGCCCCTTACAATCCAAAAAAAAAACGCCGCACGCCTACAGGGCGTACTAATGTGTTGAATCTCAGCGGCGGTGGAGAGTGTCATCCATGGGCGTCTAGAAAAGGAAGGCCTTGAGAAAATTCGCCTCCCTTGGGATACCCCTGAGGATGAACCCCATGTCCCTATCTTCGTGAGTTCCGACATCAAGTCCAAGAAACGCGTCATCATCATCTTCGGCGAGACGTCTCAGATGCTGGGAGCTCTTGCAATGCGCATCGTCAACGGCCGTGGCGGCGTCGACAAAGGTTCTCTCGTCTCTATTGTCCGCGAGATCAAGAAGCAGCACTGCTCGCCCGACGACGACGATTCCCCTGGCATTATCTTGGCCAACATGGGCGAGACCTTCTGGTGGCCCGAGGGGAAGAGGGCCCTAGAACTGCCACGATGGAATGCCACGCCGGCTCCCAGCATGGTTCAAGTGAGCCGAGCCTTTCGGCCTAATTATCACTGCATCAAAGGCCATGATAACCATCATAGCCATGTCGAGTACATTTTCGACGAAGTTCTCAATGTTCTCGTCCGACCCGATGCAAAGATTGACATCATCGCAGTCGGAGACGGTGGCGAGGCCGTGGAGAAGTTCTTCAATCATAAATTCACTTGGGCTATTTTCGGACCTCGTGTTAATTCCATGGTGCTTTTGGGGGACGGGGTGCACTCCGATCTGATCAGTTGTCCCGGGTTCAAGAACTTCCTCAAGAAGGTATGCCTTTTCTACGGTCCCCTCACAATAGACAATCACCACCTTTCCATGACTGTACTTGATGATGTTCCGCTAACACGGGGGCGTAGCGCACTCGGGCCTACGTCGTTGAGCCTTCCCTCAAGGAGCAGGTGCCTCTGGCGACTTCTCATGAGGGCCACAACGGTCATGCCATCCATGGATACTTCGGATGCCCCGTCTATAGCAGCGGTGAATACAACTACATCGAATGCATCCTCCCGCGTGCGAAGGAACACATCTTGAAGTGGATCCAGCAGGTCGCCGACGATGAGAACTACGAAAACGACCCCAACATTGCCACTGTTAACCCCTACAAGGAGGAGCTCGGCTCTCCCGAGGCACCTGAAGGGGATCCTTGGGATGACATCCCCGAGGAAGAGAGGCCGACCATCTCTTTCGCGGACCGGGAGATGATGGAGACTGAGGTGCGCCTTACTCGCATGTGGGACAACTACAAGAAGACTGGACGATTCGAGTCGGTTTGAGTTTCTTAGTCTCTAGGATTTGGCCTTGATGAATGTCATTTACCTACGTAGTAGGGGTTTACAATAGGGATGAGCTAGCCTAGGAAGCCAAAAATATCATCTGCGCCGTGTTCTCCCCTCGACTCTCTTGATTGTGACAGGTCGTATCGGAACGAACCAGACACCGCTGGTTCCCCATCGCTGGTCCTGCTGTGCGCACACACACCGCTTTTCCCATGCATACTTCTGCACTTCGCACTTGCAGAGGACCAATGAAAAAGGAATTCGTCGAAGATCTCTGTGAGATGGAATGGATGCAGGGTCTTTCCTTTTCGTGCTTCTGTGCTTCTTTTCTCCAAAATCCCCCCTGGCGTAATGCAGACCAGACCCACAGATGGACTGATGCGAGATGCAAATCACTTGGTAATTGTCTACACAGGAGTGCATCGTTTGTTGCACTTTGCAGATGACGAGGCAAAAGCTGGGATGGGAGGCCTCGCTCTCATCATTACGTGTCAGGGCATTTTCGGTGAAAAAGAGAAGACAAATTTCCCGTAATTTTGATATCGAAAAATAGATCGCCGTTGTCAAGCCAAACTCGGGTTTACTTCTTCGATCCGTCAGCCAACGGAATTATTGTTTGTAAGTGTACGCCTCGGCCACGAGGCGTCCTTCTTGTTTTGTTGAGGCATCTGGAATTTTGGATGGACCAGGGGGCGGTGTCGGTTCGGTCACGAGCATCGTCACGAGTCATGAAGCTTGTTGAAAGACGAGATCAATGGAAGCCCAAGGCGTAATCTAGTTTATTAAGCTGATGTGGACCGGGGTATGGCCAGGCCCAACAGGGCGACATCACCGAATTCGGCGGGACCGACAGTTTGGAGACGGTTTTTGGATCCCAACCAACCGTATCGAGGGGTCATTTGATATGAGGAAAATTACAGGAGTCACTAACGAGCACTTTGATATCAACTACACTTAGTTGGGCTATACTAGGAAAATATTAAGCTCGCGAAAAAGGCAAGAGTACGCGGGGGCGAGCGTCAAATCAACCCGGAAGAGTCTTTTCCAAATGCATCAAATCCGGGGTCCATGATTGACTTAATTCAATTGTTATTACTTCGTAATCTACGGAGTATTCCTACTTGCCGCTGTACTTCGAAGCGTCTGGTCAATACTTGTAAAAAAACGGTCAGCCAACCTGTATTACCTACTAATCCACTTTTGTCTTTTTCCCGATATCCTTGTTCCTTCCCGTTTCCTGATGCGGACAAGACCTGGATTATTCTCACGCCGCACTGCCGGGGACACAGAGGCGAGAACCCAAAATCCCGAGGCGGCATCATTGTTAGCACCTGATGCCTCAAAATCACACTTGGTAGCATCACTTACAAAGCCCAGCTGCGCCCCCTCAGATAACAAGAGCCATGGCCTTCTTCAAGTGAGCCTTACCGAAGGAATTTTAACGCCTCATGAGAGGTGGCAACTCGCTTCAATCAATGGTGTTACAGGTGGTGAGGGAATGACTCAATGCGGCGAAGGAGGATGTGTACAAATCCCAGGGAGAAGGGGGAAAAATAATAAAAGACGAAGCGAAGTGAGGGCGGTGGAGAAGCTCAGGCGAACCAGGCGGACCTAATCCTTCAAGGCCCGGAAGCTAGCGACCCCTCCGCGAGCCCCGACATAGGTTCGTCTACGCGGATGCGGTGTGCCTCGAGGTTTCTCGCGCAGGAGCACAATCATGTGTTCAACCAAGCGAGCAATCATCATCGAACATCGGGGTAAGCAGGGAAATTGGCAGTGTGTGGTCTTCGAATCGCGAAATGGACAGAGGGCCGCGCTCGGACATTGTGGAGACTTTCGTTTCTTGCTGGCTGTTCGCGGAACGTTTTCCAGAACATCAATCGAAGAAACCGTCATATACCTTGGTAAAAAATGGTACACTAAGACTCGGACTCGAATCGGCTGGCAGCTCCCGCCGCTCCGCTGTCGAAATACCGTCGATCAACACCCTCCCTTGCTCAGTACTTGTACATTAGTGTACTTTGTCTCACGGGCAGCTCGGGGGTGACCCTACATTAATACGGCAATGACTTCAATGCTGGGAGTAGTAAAAGTTTACTACTAAACCAAGTACCTTGTACCCACTAAGCCGGGAAGAGAAAGAGCAAGTACGACATATTTTTGGATGCTGATCTCCCCCAGACAAATCAAGGATCAATTGACTACCTGCCTAATCGAGTAAGGGGCGAGACCCAGTGAGCCCTTTGACATCGGCAATGAACCGATGCCGACTGGTATCGTTATCACACGAACTTGCCTCGTCGATATGATCTCTCCTGCATTAATGTGCGGCAATAGCTCGATTATATGAAGTCTAATTATATTATCTCACCTGAGACGTCTGAGACGTAGGACGAACTACTACGCACTCCTTTGCTCCTGTCATTTCTTCTGCTCCAATAACCCGCCATGTTTCTCCTTCGAATCCGGCAGCCGTGCCCAAACTTCACCTCGGGAGCTGGAATCCTTTGCCGAATACGAGAAACCAGCTTCAGAGAAGTGCCATCTTATCGTTTCTCGAGAAATCCGAGGCCGGCACTGGAAATGAAGGAGCTCGGGAACAGGGGTCGACTCCGGTGGTGACCGCCTCGAACGGATATCCATTGGACCTCCGCAGCTGATGGTCGGGAATTTGCCGTGGTATGTGCTCACAGTTTTTGGTTGCACAGTTTCTATGAGCTAGATATCTCCAAGATGGGTGAATCGATACAATTCATCAAGAGAATTTGCCACGGCCAGCCGTCTCAGGAACATTAAATATACCGTACCCTGGTACATTGGTGTACATTAGTGTACATGACTCCTAATCTTGCTTCCTTTCCCCGCCTCGATCTAGTGGAAGCTGGTGGGTTGCCCCATAGGGCGCTACCCTGTCATTGATTTTTGTTGTGGTAAACTTGATGTCCACAGCCCCCACCTTCGCAGTAACATTGCCTACTTCCTACGAAGGAGTATGATATGATACTCGTAGTGCCCCCCAAAACTGAGGTCCACTACGCTTGGCAAGACAAATGGTGAGACGACTGCCGCCACCCCCCCCCGGGTCCCATTCTCCACTAACAAGCACCGACAGCACGAAGCAGCGCAGCGCTAAGGAAATACAACATGCATTGGAGTAGTAGGTATCCCGGAAAATAACTGGCAGCCCTGGCTGGCAACAAGCAAAATAACGACCAAGCAAACGATGAACTAGCTAGTTCGGGGAAACATTGAAATAATACACACTCGGCAAGATTTGGCCACGCCAAGCCAGATGATAAAACTAGTAGCCACTCTCGGCACACGGGGGATGTCCTCGAGTCTGGACTTCCAGCGGTGAGCCTACCGACTGTGTTGTGTACGGCCAGGTCCTACCAGGCACAGGGTAGGAGTATTCGTAAGACCGCATGCTACCTTACTAGAGTGGCTGCACTCCGGAAATTCGAAGATCGGATTATAAGCAACTGGCAGTTGCTTTGTCGCTGCGCCAACACATGTTCCGAGTGTATCACTTTCCATCCTCCCCTCGACAATCATTCCCCTTTCGGCAGAACGCATCTCATGATCATGATGGATAGGAAATGGGACAAAAATTATTGTTAAATTGCACCTTCCTTTCCGGAGTTTGCGGGGCGGATTCGGCTTGGAGGTCCGGTGCACACTTGGGCCCGGCCTCACCATCTAGGAACGGATATGGCCACTGCCTTGCTTTTTACCACACCACCACAAATGGCCAGCCACCTCCTTCGACTCTCCAAACTTCCATCTGCAAGGGCCCTGTCGCGTAAATACATCCGGTAGCCTTTTCATCAAGCCACCTAAGCTCCCCGAGCCGGTGGTGTTGCGCGGAGGGGCCGTGTTTAAGATGATTGGGTGTCGATGAATCCCCCCTGAGAAGATTATGCACGATGTAGGCGTGCTTCCCAATGGGTTGGTCACGCGGAGAGCGGACGACGCCTGAGGGCGCAGGCATCCAGATATTTTGCTTAGAGTCGAGGCCATCCACCCCCCCACCCCCCTCAAGCTCAAGGTGGGTGATGAGAGGCTGGCCTTGAAGGGAAAATGCATCCCTCTTCCGATTTCATATAGAAGAGAAGCTAATAGAAAGAAGGTTGGAGGCTCGGAGATGCCGCAGGAGAACCGGGTCTCATCCGACCTGTAGGGTTAATATAATGACGAAAGCTATTCACTAGAGTGGCCTATTATGATGGGATGTGCTTCATCCATGTACATCACTTCGGGTGTGAGGAATGCATGCGGAAGGATGTGCGTAAACAATGGGACATGCGGTGAGGTTTCCTCGTGTCTGACGATAATGATGGTCCACTGTGGGTAAGTAGAGATCCGAGGTAGCGCAGAAAAGGAAAATGCAGCATTTTTTGTCTTCCCCCCAGGTCCGATGATGTAATGTATAAGCTCATCAGAGACCACCCTCCTTGGTTGATTGTTGATGTGAGTCGTTGGAGGTCTGGACTCACCACACTGTCGAAGTAACCCCTCAATAGAACAGGCGATACCACTTTAAGTTACTTCCAACGGGTGGTTTGGAATTAACGGCACCTGAAACAACTTCTCGCAAGTCTCCGGTTGTTAGGCGTGGGATTGTAGAAGAGCCCACAATTGGATTTCAGGTGGAATACGGAATCATTGGCTCAAGCATAATGAGCCTTACAATTAGTATCGCCGAAAGCTTCATGACCCGGCTGCGCATTGGGCGGGTGGAGCTTCGAGCAATGGGTTGTGTCTCGCAGTCGGCCGGCTCGTGGATTGATGATTACGTGTGGTTCGAAGTACATCAGGATCACAGCTCTCTGATTTGCTCTGGAATCGCCAGCGGAACTCCTGATCAATATCTTGCTCTCATTTTAATGTCGTGGCCCTAATTTCACATGTCTGATACCTTCCCAGCCGTCTCATACAAGTACAGCATAGATGGGAGGATCTATTGAAAAGGAGAGGCAAACAGCGTGGAGAGATAA